CGAAGCACAGAATTAATGGAAGCACATATAGTTTGCAAAAGTTCCAGTGTGAGGTCATAAAGGTTTGGCTGCGAAGAAATAATTTGTTTATGGTATCATCTCTTTCAAGTGGGTCTTCAAATGGTTGGCTTTTTCAACTCATCAAGCCAGATGCCTCCTCCTCCTCTGTGCAGATTTTCAGAAATTCTGACAAAGTTTTATGACTGTTTAGTTAACGATATGACCAGTTTGTACTATGATATGCCAATGAGGAGATATTATGAGTTTTAATATTATCCCTAGAGCTCTAGCACCAGCTAGATATATTGGGGCCTTAATATCCAATAGCTAACATTTTACTACTTGTTCTCAAGACTTAAATGTACCACTTTCCTTTGCCTTATGGTTTATTTTTAAAAAGGGATCTTTACTAGGGCCCTCTTCTCCATGCATATCTTCAAATAGTTTTAGGGATTTGCTTAACATTCATCAAATGATACAAGTATATGCAGCCTATAAAATAAATTATTCATTTTTGCCAATTGTTCCTGCCTACAAAAATTCCCCTCGCGTATTTCTCTAGATGTGAATGGTCCATCAATGGCAAAGAAACAAATGTGTGATGCTTTATGAATAAAAATATATTTTCTTGCTTATTTAGCATGTGAATTTGACTTTTGGCCTCGTTGGCGACAAGTTATACCTTTTCACTAACAGTCCATCACATAAAATTAGGGATCGAACATTTTTATCTTGGAAAAAAATGTGAGCAAAACCATGCGAAACACATGGGCTGGCCCATACCAGCTTGGTTCACCCCCATATGTTGACCTATCCCGAACTGTGGTCCGACTCCGATGTTCCCAATACCGTTGTTTCCCGGCTGGCCCATACCAGCCCCTGCTATCATATGTGCGACTCCTGGCTGGCCCATGGCAATTTGATTGTTTTGACCTATGTGATGATTCGCTAACTGATGTTGGAAACCCTGATGACCCATAGCGGCCGGTACCATACCCTGCTGGCCCATAGCAGCTGGTATCATTCCGTTGATCTGTTGAACGTGACCTATGCCAGCTGGAAGATTGAGGGTAAAGTTTCCGACAATTTTTTTTTTATCTACAGGAAGTATGCTCCCCCCCCAGGCAGACATACACAAATGTCTCCATAGTATGTGGCAGCATATATCATTTTAAAGCTTATTCAAAGTTACATTGATTTTCCAAAAGTTACAGGCATTTCAATACTTAGTGTTCGGCCAAAATTAAGTTCAGTATTCACTTTTTTAACTCTTGGACAAGTCATCAAAATAGATAGCTCCAAGCTTATCCCATACATCCTTTAGTTTCTGTGCAGCTGTTGTACTTGACATGAGCTCGCCAAAAAAAACTTGAAAAAATAAGCTTGCCAAACTTTTTCTTGAAATTTTCTGATAATTAGGTTTTCACTCCCCATGATAGGCGTGTTGTCAAAAATTTATTTTTCCCAAATACTCAATGTAATGCCAATGTCCCCTATGCATTTCTCAAGAAGAGAATGGGGTTGATCATTGCCTTCTCTCTTGGAATTAATTCACTGTCATTTGCTTCACATTGTTGTCCAGTAATACTCCTCACATTCTGAGGAAATATGCAAATTTACTCTGATTTGTAATGGTCTATTGGAAACGTTTTAAGTGGCTTTGATTATTGACAATGGTATAAGAGGAACAATAATATATGTTATTATAGGTGTCAGTTTCCTATGGTAATAAAGTGAGAAAAAATAGAACAAGACAAAAGAGGTGTGGCTCATTCCATGATACTAGAAGTTCTAACACCAGGGAATATTGTAAACAGTTTTCTACCCTGAAATCAAAATATTATAAAGTTACTGCAACACCTTGAAAACTAAAATGTCCGTTCTATAACATTTCATTTAAAATTACCCTCCCTTCAGCCGTGGAAGATATTGTTGGACCATGGCGCACATGCACAAGAAATTGTGGAGTCACTGTCCTTTCATTTTGGGGTTATTCAAATATCAAAGCCTAATGTGGTTTGATTAAAAGAAAATTAATAAAAATATCGGAACCAGCTAGCAGCACTTGCCTTCTGCCATCTTGATTGCAAAAGTAACTGCTGTTACCGTCTCCTGACATTTTAAGGTGAGTTAAGGACAAGATTGAGGTTATTTTGTTAACCTTTCACCGCCATAAGGTATCTCAATCCAGTTTTGAGATGTGGGCCATAAAGCAGGTCAAAGTAAAAACTTCTCCAAATTCAACAATTTGTTTACTTTTATGACATATTAAAGGTTGAAATGTAGATCATGTTGTGGTCCATTCAGTCTGCTGTCCATTCAGTCTGCTGTCGTAAAATAGTTATTATGGCCCTTTTGTATTTTGGATGTTCATTGCACAGCTAGAGTCTGACATTTACTGACTAATTAAATCTTATGTCTGAAACTACAAAAATTATTCCAAGCAATAAATTACCAACAGTAACTTATTGAGTCAAGTTTAAATCCTTTTAATATGGTATAGCATGCGTCCTTTAATTTTTTTTGATTCTGAATTTGAATAGAAACTTTATGGACTGAGGAATTAGGGATGCAGTACCGGGTCGGTTTTCACGTCTGTTTGCGCAGGTTTGACTTCCGGTTTGAGAAAGCTAGCTCCCAAGAACGTCATTTTCGCATTTAGTCTTATTCAAAAATTATAGTTTATTTTGATAATGGTGTTTCCAGAAAAAATTAAATTGCAAACATTTTATCAAGCATATTTTATCCCTTTCACTTTTATGGGAAAACTTGTTCTTGAGTCGCAATTAGTGGATACAAAAATCAGGGTTCGAAAGGTGCCAGCTCTATTGAAAACTCAAAAAAGTAAAAAGATTCATTTTGGGTGGGTAAAATAATTTTTTTATTTTGTAATTACCAGACAGTCAATCCTCTTCATATTGCACTTGGATGATGATAACATCATAGTGATACATTGTAAAAAATATGAGCAAAATCTAATGTCTGGAACTTTTTCTACGCTGACCTGGTACTGCATCCTTAAGTGTAATGCATAGAACTTTTGATAGATGACAGAATTAAGTGGAACTTATCAGTCAGCGTTCCTTGACTTGAACTCACATTGACATAACGCAGGAGATGAAAAATTATTGAAGAAGTACTTTGAAGCTCTTATTCCTTACTAAGAAAACTCAACACTAAAGGTCAAGCGTATAAAAAAGTTAGACAGTGTATACTAGATTAAAATGGTCAGTTGTCGGTATTTTAACCTCCGGATCACCTACTGGTCAGTCTTTAACAGTTTATTTTCAAACACTGCTCAGAGACTACCTGTGGTCATAGAGGTTGTCTTTCCAATTACCTCTAAAGTAGAGACGCCACTTTGTTGTATGTTTGTATTTCAATGCAGTCACCTCAATTCATAGACTTAGATGGATACAAATTTTTTACCATTTTAAATGAACTTAAAATAAAGTTGTCAAGTCAGTGGAAATTTTATATGGCATAGTATAGATTCATTGACCTGGCTTTAACCTTTTAAAGCTTACAGTATAAAAAGTGTATTGCAAAGGACCAGGTAACTATAGACAGTCATTTTACTATGAGTACCTTCTCAATTCAAATACTAGTATGACATTTCTCATTAACATAATATGTTATCTTTCTCGTAAATTGTCAAGGATAATAAAAATGTTGACCAAATAATTCGAAAACCTAAATAACATGGAATATTTGGGTTTTATTTTTTATCGCATTTCAATACCCATACTCTTCAGAAGTAGTTAATATACTGTAGAATAAACTTTGGATTTTAAACTTTGGATCTTTTTAGAAAATAAGCCTAACATTTTTAAACAAGACACAGGGTGAACAATATTGTACCTAAAACATACCAGTGTGGGCTTGTTGACCAAGAAAGCAAGATGGCCACTGATAAGTATCTCAGCTCTTGAACTTCTTAGCATGTAATTGTAAAAAATTGAAGTAATTCCGTTAAGTGGTTTTCCTGGAATCTCTTTTCTAAAAACTTTCAAAATGGCTGCCAGAATGCAAGGTGGTTGCCAAAAAGTTAATCAGCTCTAGAACTTCTTACCATAACATGTGTGAAAATTTGAACTAAATCCGTTGAGTGGTTTTTGTGAAATCATAGTGACAAGATTGTTTTCTCTAAGCCATCAGTCTAGGGACACAAATATCAAATTACTTTACTAGTATTTAGTTTTTACTGATTAGGCTATTCTAGTCAAGTTTTTTCACAATGGCTGTTATTGCATTTCTACATTGCTCTCATAGCTTAGTTTGTCTCACATTTGAACCATTGACTTTTCTACTGGATCATCGAGATTTTTTGGATAGAACCATGCATAATGTTTGATGGTCATTTGAGTCAAATGCAAAAGAACACAAAAAACAATATGTATACCACAGCTCCTATGCATGAAAATTAACTGCTTCTACATAAATCTAACCGAACAAAACAAGGCAGTGTAAACAATACCATACCTAAAACATAGCAGTGGGCTTGTTGACCCAGAAGGCAAGATGGCCACTGAAAAGTTAATCAGCTTCTTACCATGTAACATGTGTAAAAATTTGAACTAAATCCGATAAGTGGTTTTCATGGAATTGCAATGACAAGATTTATGTAAAAACTTTCAAAATGTCCACCAGAATGGAAGATGGCCACCAAAAAGTTAATCAGTTTTAGAACTTTTTACCATGAAACATGGGTGTAAATTTGAAGTAAATCCATGAAATGGTTTTCCTGGAATTGTGATGACAAGAAAAGTGAGACACTGCCCGCTAAGCTGACGACAATATCATAGCTTTTTTTAGGTACAATAGAAAGTGACAAGTTTCTGAGAGTTGGATTGATATTTTTTATTATTAATTGGACTTCACTTGAAAGAAAACATATTGTTTTAATAAAATCAATTGCCATACTAAACCTGGTCCTTTAATTTAAATACTACTGTACTAGTACTATGTTATTTCAAAAAGAATTGAAAGCAACATTTTCACATTGTAAGATTCGCTTTTCAGACATTAATTTGAACTGAAAGAAATGCACCAATTTCTTCTATCAAATGAGAAATAGGTGTCACAATAGCATTTACTATCAGTGTATTGTCAATCATTTTTTGCATACCACATCACATACATGCATAAAAATCATGTTCATACAGCGGAAAATAAGTGCTTTTTGATTTGTTTTAAAGTGGTTCTGTGCAAAAATAACATTGATGTTTTGACATTCCTTTCCTCTTGTAAACACCATTGAATATCAAGTTGTATACATAGGCTGATCAAACATTGGCAGTTGAGAATGAAAAGAAAGGTTATTATAGACACTGATCCCGGCATAGATGATGCAAAAGCAATTATAATGGCATTAGCTCAACCTGATTGGGAGGTCATCGCAATCACACTTGTAAATGGGAACTGCAAGATCAAACACCAAGTGAACAATATTGCTAGATTGTTGCATGTCTGTGAACGCACTGAGGTGAGAATTTAAACCTTTTAAGTTATAGTCTTACAGAAAGTTAGAAGCTGCTGTAAAATGCTGGAGGGTCCAAACAAAGATGCAAATCATAAAATCAAAATATCTTAAATTGATTCCAAAATTGGTACTATTGTATTACACTGTACACAGATAGAGTAAATTAGGTCACCATTTTGACCTTGACTTTACAATGACCTCAAAATTGAAAACTAGGATTTCAAAACCAATTCTTTGGAAGTATGAAGTATGGAAGCCCTGATTCTAAATATCCTTTTCGTTTTGAAATTTGACTAGGGTGACCCTAGAAAGGTCAAATTGTATAATTGCTCAAATTGATTCCAAATTGGTATCAATGTATTACACTGTCCTGAAATAGAGTAAATTTGACCTTCACCGTAAAATTACTTAAAACTTTTTTTATGGTTTTAAGGAGCCACCATAATTATTGTTAGCTAAAAATTGGTTTTGAATTTGACCTCTTCAAAAATCAAAATTGCTTCATTTGATTCAAAATTGGACACCTTTATGTTGCATATGACCTAGAGAGATGAGATAGGGCAAGAAGTTTGACATTGACCTTTGCCGTAAAATATTGTTAAGTGTAAAGTGAAATGCTGTGAACTTTGTTGTTCTACATGCTTTACATCACCAATTTATTAGTGTCCAGTTTTTCATTGATGTGCCCCAAATTTGATTCAGAAGAGTCAATTGTGTACCAAATTCGCTGTAACCCTTGAGGATGGTTATTCTACAAAATCGCCCCTGATGATTTTAGTGTCTAGTTGTTAATATTTCCTCATGTTTCTTTTAAGATACCTGTTTACAAAGGCTCAGAATGCTCATTGCTAGGCAATTATGATCTACAAACTGGTCACCATGGTGTCGATGGATTCGGAGATGTATTCACATATGATGTTAACAAAAGTATGATCAGGGATGAAAATGCTTCTATTGCAATAGTGGACCTTGTCAAAAAGTATCAAGGTGAATATTTGCTAATTGAGTCTTACATGATTAAATAAACATAAAATGGAATGTACTAAAAACCTTACGACCCTTCGACCCTACGACTTACTGAGTGTCAAGAACTTTTTGAATATATTTTTTATAAAAAACCCTCGACCTTCAATTTCTCAGTCCATATGACATGTATGAAGTTGCTGGAAATATTACTATGTGTATAGAACTTAGAAATCTGTCCCTAGAGAGAAGCACATAATTTCAAACGTTGAATGTTTCTTACATATTTGAGCTTTTCCCATCATATTGTAACATATGAACATATCAAATATGAAAAAATAGATCCACTATTTTTGTGTTAAAAACGCAAAATAACACATATTTAGTTAGAAGCCATTTTTCAAAATGGCTGCCTACTTGCCAAAGTGTTATAAGATATTGTGCCATGCTTATGAGTATTCACATATTAAATGTGAAAAATCGCTCCATAGCCTATTACTTTTCCCAGTTACAGCAACAATCGTGAAATAGCAAGATGGCCACCATGTTTTTTTTAAAATATTTAAGTTTTCAAGTTAATCAATATCCTATATACTTGGCTTTGTATAAAAAACCTCATACCCACCTACCCATGTACGTTGGACATGATATAGTCTTTGAAGGGTTCAATTTTAAAGATCTTAGTTTATTAAATCTTAGTTTATGATGAATTATAGATGCATTTGAAAGACCCTTGATAGCAAGTTGCCACTACAGCCCAGCTGGTTTCGATCCCCACTCGGGGCATCTAATTTAAAGAAACCCACCACCTTACAAAACTTCTTAACGGAGAGGAATAAGGGAAAATGCTTGCTGATTCTGAATCTGTATTTTTAATGATTTTTCACCGTCTTAGAATTGCATTGTTTTCCAATTAGAAAAATGAGTAAACATGAATAGCTCGAAATCTAACTGTGAGATTTTGTTTTAAAAAATCATGGATATCAAAGCTAAATATAGCTATACAATAAACATAAAAAAGCAATGCTTGGACTCTTCATATTCACACAAAAAATTAATTAGTAAATGAGGTTTGATATTTGTGACAATAAGTTGTACGAGGTGCAATGCTCTACAAACACCAGACTACAGGGTGGATTTGGATCAATGACACACATAAAAATTAATTTAAAAATATTTCATTTTTGCTATAAAGATGACCCATAGCTTTACTATTGACTTGCCACAGTCAGCGTTGAGCGAGCACATTGGGCAACATCAGAAAATCCAAAATGCAGAATAATAATATTATATGATGTTAATATGGTATGTATATGTAAGCCACATCTAATACAATTTTAAAGCAATATTTCATTTTGCTGAGGGATATTAATCTTTTTATTCCATTATAACAGTTTTCCAGGGTATTAACAGTAAAATATAAAAGCTATTGAAAATCCAATATCAGATCCCATATCAGAAAAATCACTTATTGAATCCTGTATCTGATTCCATATCAGCCAAAAATCTGAGCTAGATTTACATCATCATTTCAGAATTTAATTTTAGAATTTCTACACAAAAAGGCATTTTTGTTGCGGACAATACTACATCACGCAGTCTTTTTTTATAAAGATATTTGGAGAGATTGCATGGTGCAAAGTCATCTGTAACGAAGAATCCTCATTGCATCAAAATTCTACAAGTAATATTTGAAATGATAATGCAAAAATGGATAATACAAAAGTGGACCCTTGAGAATAATGAACTTTCAAATTGGTCTTGCTTTTGTGGTGTATGTGGCTTTTTAACAAATCTGCCACGCTCATTTCTTTCCAGAACCATCTTATTCACATGTATCACTATACGCACATGTATAGACAGATGACATAGATATACATATAGATTATATATTGCACCTGTATTTACTTACATTGGAATATTCCCTTTGGATAAATGCAAATGCATGAACATATATTTTCATCTTATATATGACTTCAAGCTAACATATTATTTCATATTTATATTTTCATAGTTAGTTTAACATAAATAATAGATCCATGAGAACAATATTCTTTGTTTTCTTAAAAATTGATGGGTTTACTGTGAATTCAATCAATTACAATTTGCAAGGGGTAAGTATACTGTATGACCTTAGTTCATCCAGTTGTACGTTTACTGCAAAGAACTGTTTTTATATGCAGCTTAATAGCATGAAATATGTTGAATGACGCATATGGTGTGGATTAGTTGTGTGACACACAAACTGACCAATACATGAGGGTATTAGCTACTTTTCACATAAACCAAAGGAGGACAGTGCTTTTATTTCAACTGGGAGATTACCTCCACACGTCTGATCATGTGACCATGCTGGTGCTCCCCTTTAATTCACTTTCTTTCAATTTCTTTTTCTGGCTTGTTGGACCTATGCTGGCGGTCGTTATTTAGATATTCTCCTGGGGCGCCCTCGGGTCATTACACATTACAATGCACCCATGTGCCTTTATTTATGGATCTGTCATCCGTCTAGTCATAAAATAAAGCCGGAATTGTAGAAATGTTAATAATTAGAGCTATTTTGAGATTTTAAAATCTTTAAAATTGAATCCTTCAATGGCTGTATCATGTCCCACGTAGGTGGGTATGAGGTAGGAGGTTTTTTATACAGAGCCTATATACTTTCTTGCATTCAAAACATAGTAAGAATACTGTTTTATATGTTATAGCTAAAATGCCATAAAATTTACACAAATGGCAGCCAGTCTTAAAATCGACTTTCGAGCAGAACTTGTGCTTCCATGGGCCATATACATATAAATTTAAACGATATTGGTCTAAGGTTATTTGAGTTATAGTCTGCACCCTATGCAGACAGAGCCTGTGGGAAATATTGGGTGCGGAGCAAATGAGCGGAGGGTGCGGAGCTAACGGTTATTTTTGAATTTAAATTTGGGATATTTCACCATTTTTTATGAATGCTGGGGACGCAGTATTAAAAGGATAGTCTCAAAATATATAGGTCTGGGAAATGTTTAAGGCATACTGCGTCGCTATAAAATGAATTGCACTACTATTTTCACAATTTTATTGATATTTGGTGTCAAATACACATATCTTGGTATATTTGAAATCCCAAAACGGCTTAGTTTCAGAAATATCCCAATTTTAAATTCAAAAATGACCGTTAGCTCCGCACCCTCCGCTCATTTGCGCCGCACCCAATATTTCCCACAGGCTCTGTCTGCATAGGGTGGTCTGGAGGGATGCATGAATGTACGTACTTAGAATTTTGACGCACATCAAATTGTCCGCTATTTCCGATTCTGATTGAATGAAATGCGATGGTACATTCAAACCCTTGGGGTTGCTATTTGGAAGTGATTGTTTTTCTGATCTGCTTAAAATCTTTCAAGCAAAGGAACCCAAAACAAATAATCTAATTCTCATTGCCTAGTCTAAATTAGTGTGTTTGTTCATTTCCCTCCTGCCGGGCAGAAAAGATAATCATTCATTTTCAGTTATTCAAGTTTTTACTGGTCAAATATAGAGGAAAGTACATGTCCACTAATTGTGAGAATTATTTCTTAAATTATCGGTGAATTAAGCTTTTTAATGGTGTATAAAACATTGTAATTGGTCTTATATTTCTAGAGATATCGTAATTTGAATTGTGTTTTTCAGCGTGATTCTTATATTCCTTATTCAATTCAGCTGCACTATTCACACCTTTGATTGACACGCTAGGGGTAGATTATTAATTCTTTGTAGTGACAATGTTTTGACATGTACAAACCTTCCTAATTCATGAATATTCATATCATCATAGTTACATTTCCTTTTATGACCAGAGATTCCAGAGTTCTCATGATTTCCACTAAGTCTAATGAACCATCATATTTGTAATGTGTGTGGGGTTGGTGTAAAAAACTGGTAATATAGGGACTGGGTACCAACTATGTTTCCATTGAAAGAGTCAGTATGTACAAAACATTTTCCAATAAGGTAGATTAAATCCTACAGGGAACTCAAGTTGGAACTATATGTAATCATGTATGAACTAGAAAACTGGACTGGGAAATCAAAAGTCGAAGGGTTTTCCAACAAAATATAGTACTCCAAAAGTTCTTGACACCCAGTAAGTAGTAGGGTCGTAGGTCGAAGGGTTTTTAGTACATTCCACATAAAATAAATACATATGAAAGTTAAGATTTATTTTAGAAGTCAAAGGCTAACATCATTGAGTAAATCCAATAAATGATGATCCTTATCATGAGGAGTCCCACTTTTTGTCATCGCAATTCCAGGAAAACTACTTTTTGGATTTTCTTCAATTTCCTCCACATCATAGCTGAAACTACATTCTAGAGCTGTTTCGCTTTTTGGTGGCCATTTTTTGTGTGGCTATATAATTATTCGATAAACCATCTCAATGCGACTCCAGCAATACTGCTCAATCGGTTTCCTTTGTACACATGATAGAGGATACCAAGTTCCAGAGTTGATAACTTTCTGGTGGGCATTTTGGATTTTTTGAGTTATCATGAGGAGTCCCACTTTTTGTCATCGCAATTCCAGGAAAACTACTTTTTGGATTTTCTTCAATTTCCTCCACATCATAGCTGAAACTATATTCTAGAGCTGTTTCGCTTTTTGGTGGCCATTTCTTGTGTGGCCTTATAATTTTTTGATAAAACATGTCAATGCGACTCCAGCAATACTGCTCAATCAGTTTCCTTTGTCGAATGATAGAGGGTACCAATAGTTCCAGAGTTGATAACTTTCTGGCGGCCATTTTGAAAGTTTGCGCTTGATATATAGATTTGATTCTTGTATATTAGCCTTAAACTTGGTCTACTTGACTCAGATTTAAGCTCCAACCTTGTGCAATGATTCACCCACAAATCATCAAGTTTTTGGCAAAACTTCTTTACTCGGTTATAACTTTTACTATGCAACAATATTTATTATTATGTTTCCAGGAGAAGTGACCTTGATAACTATTGGCCCTCTGACAAACATTGCCATGGCAATACGTCTGGCACCATCTCTCGGCAGTCAATTGAAAGACTGCTTCATAATGGGTGGTAATATTCATGGTAATCATTTTTTTTATTTTCCCATCATAATGGGAAGGTTATTTTCAGACATTTTTTGAACAATAAGTAATACTGATAGCTACCTACTGATATCAGTGAGCTCAAACTGGAGGTCTATTTGGATAACCCCATAACATAAGAATTTGAAAATAGAAACTTGTAGGAAATTGATCAAAAGTCAAGATTCTGCAAATCTGTATGCCAAGGCAAATTCTTACTGCTTTCTGTGGATATGTAAAAGTGGGAGTTTATATGTTTAATACGCTTATAATTCAGTGATTTGTGATACTTCTAGGGACAATGTGGTATGATCAACTTTATCGTATGGAATTATACATATCTTATATCTAAAATAATTATGATTGATCACACTATTAGAAAATAAAGTACATTTTGATTGTTATTTTGTGATCTTTTATCAAGTGATTTCGATAGTTTACACACCTCTTGTTCATAACTTAAAACAATCAAAAACATTAACAAAATTGTTTAAAATGATCGCTAAAACAGAAATCTAATATACCACTAATACATCACCAATAGATCACCAATACACCATGAAAAGTGATTTAGTCAAGTGGTTTATTAGTAATGTATTAAAGCTTGCAATACTCAACTAATAAACCACTGTAGGGTTTTTTAGGGGAGTGGTTTGTTAGTTGTGTATTAACTCATTTTTTCTGGAATGGTCTATTAGTAGTGTATTAAACTGATCATTGATTTAGAATGAGAAACCCCTTTTAAATGGCGGAAATAGTTAAAATGTGAGGGAATTAATTCTCCAATGAAATGTAGCATTACAACCAGAGGGGTGACTGGACTTCATTGAATCTTGCTCAGCATATTCATAAAGGTATGTAGAAGATGTACATGTTGAATCTTATTCATAATTTCTCACTGAATTTAGCACTATAGAGATTTTGTACCTTATGGATGTATAAAATTCAGGGATTTCAGGAGTGATTTGTTAGTCGTCTATTAGACTAGTAGTGGTGTATAAAAGTTCAAGAAGTGATGTATTAGTGGTCTATTAGTAATACTTGAGACTTCAGGAGTGATCTATTAGTAGTATATTACATACTCTCTCAATAATGTTTATCTCATTTGCATGGTAATTTTTTCAACTAATAAACCACCTGTTAAGTCAATGGCGAAAAGTGATCTGTTAACGAAAATGACCACTAACAAATCACTAATAGATCATGTTTTACTAGTTGAGTATTAGTAGTCTATTAGTGGTTTATTAGAGTGGTATGGCAAGCTGTTTTTTCACTTGGGGATCGATTTACCTTTTGATGTTGAAGAATGCTTCCTGAAATTGAAAATAATAAGTCCATATTTACCAAGCACTCATGCAGGGCCGTCAGATGGGGGGGTGTCACCCCACAAAAAAAATTTGAAAAAAATGTTTTTTTTGAAAAATTATTTTTTTGTAATTTTTTTTTCATTGACTCATACACTTTGCAAGTACCCAGAAAGCACCAAATAGCATCTTAAAATTGAAAAATTTTCTAGGGGTATTGGCCACCCCTCACACCCCCCCCCACAAAACAATGGAAATTTCTTTTATTTTAGTGTTTTGTCTCAGACACTTTTAAAGTGCCCAGACATCATCAAATAGCTCCTTGATATAGTTAGTGTTTCTGGGGGACTTGCTCCCCCTCTTGCATCTTGCACTTGCCCCCCCCCCCACTCTGGCGCCCCCCCCCCTATGGCGCCCCCCCCCCTATGGCGCCCCCCCCCCTTGACCCCCCCCCCCCAAAAAAAAAGAATTGTGATTTTCTCAAATTCTTTAATTGACTCATACACTTTGAAAGTGCCCAGAAAGCACCAAAAAGCGTCTTAAAATTGTAAAATTTTCTAGGGGGAGTGGGCCACCCCTCACACCCCAAACAAAACAATGGAAAGTTCTAAATTTATTTTAGTGTTTTGTCTCAGACACTTTTAAATTGCCCAGACATCATCAAATAGCTCGATCCTTGATAAAGTTAATGATTCTGGAAGACTAACACTTACTCGTCCTCTGGCATCCCCACTCCACCTCCCCCTCTGGCAGCCCCCCCCCTTAACACCCCAAAAAGTGCCCAGAAAGCACCAAATAGCATCTTAAAATTGTAAAATTTTCTTGGGAAATAGGCACTTTTAGGCACAGACACTTTTAAAGTGCCCAAACTTCATCGATTAGCACCTTGATATTGTAAATTTTGATATGGGGGACAAACACTTGCTCCCCCTCTGGCACCCCAGCCCCACCTCCCCCCACCTCCCCCTCTGGCACCCTTTGACACCCCCAAAATTTGAAAAAAATTGTGATTGTTTTTCAATGTTTTTATTGACTAATACACTTTAAAAGTGCCCAGAAGCACCAAATACCATCTTTAAATTGTAAAATTTTCTAGGAGAGTTAGTCACCCCTCACATCCCCCACAAAACAAAAGAAAATATTCTGAATTTCATGTATTGTCTCAGACATTTTTTAAGTGCCCAGACATCATCAAATAGCACCTTGATATGGTCAATGTTTCTGGGGGACAACCCCTTGCGCCCCTACTGGCACCCCACCCCACTTCACCCTCTTTGACACCCCTAAAAGAATTTGAAAAAAAAATTCACATTTTTCTTATTGACTCATATCGCACAGGCGTACCAGATGGTTGCAAATTCGCTCCAAATACAACCAAATTTCAAAATTTTCCTGGGGGGAGAACCCCCAGACCCCCTAGGCCCTGAATGCTCAGTTTTTTATTCACTCAACTCTTATTCCCGTGGTGGTGGCGTACTACTTAGAAACTTACACATTGAAAGTGCCCAGAAAGCACCAAATAGCATCTCAAAACTGTAAAATTTTCTAGGGGGAGTGGACCACTCCTCATACCCCCCACAAAACAATTGGAACGTTTGGAAGTTGCATTTGTTAATTCCAAACCAATATAGGGAGTAACTGACCCCCCCCCCCTCTGTCTTACGCGATTTGATTACGCGGCAAAAAAATGACAATTTTATATTCTCTTTAGTAAGCTAAAAACCGCACCCCCCTTGGAGAAAAGTGTCTTACGGGCCTGTCATGACATGCATGAATGAAGCATTTTAAGTAATTCGTTACTTAAAAACAATCAAAAACATGATGTTGAACAAGCTTCCTGAAATTCAAAACAATCAGTCCATATTTAGCAAGTTCCCATGAATGAAGCAATCAAAAACATTAACGAAATTGTTTAAAATGATTATGACCGTTCGATGTTGAAGAAGGCCTCCATGAAATTGAAAACAATCAGTCAATATTTACTAAGCACTCCTAAATGAAGCATTTTAACTTTTGCAGGACATGGGAATGTAAAACCATGTGCTGAATTCAACTTTGCATGTGATCCAGAGTCAGCGCATATTGTGTTAAATGAACTAAGGCCACCATCTCCTATTACTTTGGTGCCTTTGGAGTGTTGTAATGTCTCACATTTAAATTGGGTAAGTCATTACTACAAGATACCCACATGTGTTAAATGAACTAAGGCCAACATCTACCATTACTTTGGTGCCTTTGGAGTGCTGTAACGTCTCACATTTAAATTGGGTAAGCCATTGCTACGAGAGACCCACATGTGTTTAATGAATAAGGCCACCATCTCCCATTACTTTGGTGCCTTTGGAGTGCTGTAACGTCTCACATTTAAATTGGGTAAGTCATTACTACAAGATACCCACATGTGTTAAATGAACTAAGGCCACCATCTACCATTACTTTGGTGCCTTTGGAGTACTGTAACGTCTCACATTTAAATTGGGTAAGCCATTACTACGAGAGACCCACATGTGTTTAATGAATAAGGCCACCATCTCCCATTACTTTGGTGCCTTTGGAGTGCTGTAACGTCTCACATTTAAATTGGGTAAGTCATTACTATAAGTGAACCAAATGTGTTAAATGAACTTAGGCAACCATCTCCTATTACTTTGATGCCTTTGGAGTGCTGTAACGTCTCACATTTAAATTGGGTAAGTCATTACTATAAGTGAACCAAATGTGTTAAATGAACTAAGGCCACCATCTCCCATTACTTTGGTGCCTTTGGAGTGCTGTAACGTCTCACATTTAAATTGGGTAAGTCATTACTATAAGTGAACCAAATGTGTTAAATGAACTAAGGCCACCATCTCCTAGTACTTTGGTGCCTTTGGAGTGCTGTAACATCTCACATTTAAATTGGGTAAGTCATTACTATAAGTGAACCAAATGTGTTAAATGAACTAAGGCCACCATCTCCCATTACTTTGGTGCCTTTGGAGTGCTGTAACGTCTCACATTTAAAATAGGTGAGTCATTACTAGTATAAGTGAACCAAATGTGTTAAATGAACAAAGGCCACCATCTCCTATTACTTTGGTGCCTTTGGAGTGCTATATCGTATCACATTTAAATTGGGTAAGTCATTACTATAAGTGAATTAAATGTGTTAAATGAACTAAGGCCACCATCTACCATTACTTAGGTGCCTTTGGAGTGCTGTAACGTATCACATTTAAATTGGGTAAGTCATTACTTAAAGAGACACACATGTGTTAAATGAACTAAAGCCATCATCTCCCATTATTTTGGTGCCTTTGGAGTGCTGTTACGTATCACATTTAAATTGGGTAAATCATTACTAAAAGAGACACACGTGTGTTAAATGAACTAAAGCCATCATCTCCCATTACTTTGGTGCCTTTGGAGTGCTGTAACGTATCACATTTAAATTGGGTAAGTCATTACTAGTATAAGTGAACCAAATGTGTTAAATGAACTAAGGCCACCATCTCCTATTACTTTGGTGCCTTTGGAGTGCTGTAACGTCTCACATTTAAATTGGGTAAGTCATTATTATAAGTGAACTAAATGTGTTAAATGAACTAAGGCCACCATCTCCCATTACTTTGGTGCCTTTGGAGTGCTGTAACGTCTCACATTTAAATTGAATAAGTCATTACTATAAGTGAACTAAATCTGTTAAAAGAAATAAGGCCACAATCTACCATTACTTAGGTGCCTTTGGAGTGCTGTAACGTCTCACATTTAAATTGTGTAGGCCTAAGTCATTTTTATAAAAATAATGTTTAATTTTTTTGTCCAGCTTTGGGGAGCAGTTTCAAATGTGAAATACAAAATGTTTCCCCGAAGAAAGACAAAAAAATTAAACAATTTTTTTTTTAAAACTAAAAGAACCAATATATCTAGTTCTCAATATTGTGCCATTAAAAAGTTGAAAAAGATATTGTATATTTTTGAGAATGATACTCTGGCGCCATTTTCAATATTTTTACTCCTAGTGTTATTGGAACTAAAAACGGTAATGAAGGTTTTCCACAAATAATATGCTCATTGCATGGAGTTCATTTTTATTGGTATAAGAAAACTTGAGTTAAAAACAATTGTGAATTTTTCTTAGTGTTATGAAAAATTGCATGCTCCCCCAAGCTGGACAATGACAACTTCTGGGATTAAACGCAAGTAAAGAATTTACAAAAAAAATCCCCAGTAATTAGAATTACATTATGCCCCTAGTGTTTTATGGAGCGTTAATTAATAGTTGTGTATTACTAATTCTAGATTGTTGAGTTTACATCCTGAATTTATTAGATGCTACTATTCTATTGTGAAATAGTTGTGATTTGTTGTAGGATATTTATAAAAGACTTGGAAAGATTGGGTCCAAGAAAAATAATTTCACCCAACAAATCGATCGCTACACAGCAAGAGAAAAGATGGAGGCAGGAGAAAGGTACAAAGGCCAAACATAATATTATGACTGACCAGAATTCCACTTTTGGTAGCATTTTAAAGTCCCTTCATTTTCTTAATTAGAATATGTCAGGTTTTAACTTAATGATTAAACATTCACATAGGCAACATTTGGTCCAAAAGGGAAGCTACATATTGACAATCTTTTGGAGAGAATACTTAGAGAAAATGAACATGTATAACACTGAATGCTAATACTTCTCCTTCCTTTTTATTAATTGTATGTATTAAAATATGTTTCAGAATGATTGTTTACGATGAATGTGCAGTTGCAGCTGCAATAGATGGTAACACAATAGAAGATTATTTTGAAGTCTACGTCACAGTTGAATTGAATGGGCAGTATACACGTGGACAATGTGTCATTGATTATGAAATGTACCTCAAGAAATCACCAAATTGTAAAGTAATTAAAAAAATGAGTCAGAAAAAATTTGAGGAGTTGATATTCCATTCATTGAAGTAGAAAAACAATGCAAAGACAATGTGACTGGATAACTTAAATAGATCAATTTAACAGTGGAATATGTCTCTGGATAAAACATCTGCATCTGTAACATGTAACACATCAGGAATATTAGCACTCATCACCCCTCCTAAACTTATATCAGAAAAAGTCCATATTGTATGTTTATCTCAAAAATGAAAATAAAATTAGATAGACTATATATGCATGTTGTACTGTATTTATCAACAGACCTCTGCCAGATTACCTCTTCTTGATGTCTAGGCTCTATAAATATAGGGGCTGGATCTGGCTCCGGATCTGTGTATTTATCTATCGAGAGTGTCATTGTGCATTTCATTCATTGTGCATTTCATTCAGCCTCTTGAACTTCATTCAATCAGTTACAAGTAAATAACAGTATTTGTTGTCACCACCAAAAGTGGTGACATATTGTTTTGATATGTATGTCAAAACAGATGAAAAGGGTAGTTATCCCATCGAACGAAGTTCGGAGGGATATACGGAACGCCTGCATCCGTCCGTCCCGGCAATAACTCAAATACCGTACCATTGACCCGATTTTGTTCATATTTTGTACACATATACTCAATGGGGGTTGAAGTTCGATAGTGCCGATGTTATAGTAATTTAGGTACTGCATATAAAACTGTAATAGCAATATGTTTTAAATGTAAAAAAGTTAAATAGGACATTGATTAAGCTAGAAATGTAAATACAGAAGAAATACATGGCAGCCATCTTGAAAAGTGACTGCCTTTGCACGTCATTTTACGATTTTTGCTGTAACTTGAAAAGTAGTGGAGCGATTTTGTTCATATTTGGTATGTGAATACTTTAGGCATTGCACATTGTCTAATGACATTTTTGGTAGTAGGTTTTTTTTTTACTATAACTCCAGAAGTTGTAGAGTGATTTTGTTCATATTTTATATGTGAATACTATAAGCATGACACACTGTCTAATGACACCTTGGGTAGTAGGCGGCCATTTTAAAAAATGGTCACCATTTTTTACGTTTTTTAGTATTACTTGAAAAGTAGTGGAGCGAATTTGTTCATATTTGACATGTGAATACTTATGAGCCTTGCACACTGTCTCGTGACACTTCGCATAGAAGGTGGCCATTTTAAAAAATGGCTGTCAATTTTACATTTTTTACTATAACTCGAAAAGTATTGGAGCGATTTTGTTCATATTTGATATGTGAATACTTTAAGCATGGCACATTGTCTAATAAAACTTATGGAGTAGTCGGCCATTTTGAAAAATGGCCACCATTTTATGTGTGTTATCTTACATTTTTATTATAATTCAAAAAGTATTGGAGCGATTTTGTTCATATTTGATATGTGAATACTTGTAAGGATTGCATTCTGTCTTGTGACATTTTGGGTAGTATCTAGCCGGCCATTTTAAAACATGGCCAACATTTACATGTATGTGTGTGCGATTTTTATCGTACCTAACAAGAGGTACGATATTGTAGTCAGTGTCGCGACCCTCGTGTGGTAGCGTGGTTTGAGCTTGACGGGGGGGCGGGCGGCGTCTCACTTTTCAGCTTGTATACAGGTTTCCAGCCAAACCATTTGAGGGATTCATCTGAAATTTTCAGGGATGTTTCTACATATCAACGTCAAGAACTGATTAGTTTTTGGGCATTCTGGGTAAATTTTAAGGTGGCCATTTTGGATTTTCCGTCCTTAAATCTTCACTTTCAAGACTTGTCTACAGGTTTTCAGCCAAACCATTTGAGGGATTCATCTGAAATTTTCAGGGATGTTTCTACATATCAACGTCAAGAACTGATTAGTTTTTGGGCATTCTGGGTAAATTTTAAGGTGGCCATTTTGGATTTTCCGTCCTAAAATCTTTACTTCCAAGACTTGTCTACAGGTTTCCAGCCAAACCTTTTGAGGGATTCATCTGAAATTTTCAGGGATGTTTCTACATATCAACGTCAAGAACTGATTAATTTTTGGGCATTCTGGTTAAATTTTAAGGTGGCCATTTTGGATTTTCTGTCCTAAAATCTTCACTTTCAAGACTTGTCTACAGATTTTCAGCCAAACCATTTGAGGGATTCACCTGAAATTTTCAGGGATGTTTCTACATATCAACGTCAAGAACTGATTGGTTTTTGGGCATTCTTGGTAAATTTTAAGGTGGCCATTTTGGATTTTCCGTCCTAAAATCTTCACTTTCAAGACTTGTCTACAGGTTTCCAGCCAAACCGTTCAAGTTTTTACATATGTTACGCAGTGATAAGTTCTAGAGCTGATTAACTTTTCTGCGGCCATCTTGCTTTCTTGGTCAACAAGACCACAATGCTGTGTTTTAGGTACGATATTGTTCACGTCTGTGCCTTGGCTAGTGAGCAACCATTTTGAAAATGGCGGCTTGTTTTTAAAAATGCCAGCCATTTCTGTTTGATGGGATTTTGGCTACGCATTGGTGTTGCCGTTGTTCTGGTTTCAATTTTAATTCACAATATTGTGAGCAACTAGGTGGTGATATTTATTTTGTCATGTTATTGTCTTCTTACTTAATTAAATTAATTGAATTAAGCATGAAAAAGAATGGATTTTTAATGCAAATATTGTGACTATTGGAAGGTCTTGTTTTCTTATCTGTTAAACATAATTTACATAGACATAAAATTCATAAATAGAGACATTAAACAAATCAAAATTGATATCATGAAGAACATAAATGACTCGGTTACATTTGTTCCGGGTATTGTATGCCCAAGAGTCACCATGGATTTTAGAAAATATGGAGAAGACGCAAGGCGAACACAGGGGGACCCTACATTGTTTTACGATTTAGAGGAATGGTCACCGTAGAGACAGAGATATGAATGTACAAAACCTTTGTCCATGTCTCTCATGCCTTTCTACGCTTGTGTCATTGGGATTTATTACAGTGAAGGAATAATGTAATGCAACACAGTGTATTAACTATTGCACCCAAAATACAAAATGTGACAATCATCAATACAAGAAAACAAAGCACTAATCAAGTTTCCTTTAAATAATATAATATATTTGTATAGTTTAAATTACACAATATTGCTGTGATTTGTGAAAATGTACATGATGTATATAAATTCTAAACCTGTCATGATATGACACACTAACATAAGTATAGTATGTAATAATGAAAAGATTATATACAGGATCACCCTGTACTTTTTATTGAGTTGACTGTCTGATCACTTATTACTGCATCACTATTATCATCAAAACTATTTTACAGAAAGAGTGTTTAAGTTGTACTAAAACCATTTTACTGGATTTAGAGATATAACTTGGCACACGGTACGTCATGGTCAGGTGACCTCAAAAAGTGTGCAAAAATAACATTTCAGAGGTTGACAGTCTTAATAAATCGTGTTGTGTGTGGAAATATCACAAGCTTTGTAGTCAACATAACAAAAGGGATGCTATTTGTGCTAAAAACAAGATGATAAGAGATTCCTTAATTGGTTTTAGTAAAACTTTAATGAGTGTGTTTAACCGATGTAGATTTAGAAAGATTAAAGGTTACACTTAAGTAAATGAGTACAGTAAAACCTGTCTTTGGGAACACCTTCATCCACGCATTCTCTACGGACTTCTGTATAAATTACATTCTCTGTGGTGAACACTACCAACACTGAACGTTTTTTCTTAGTAAAACAATGCTCAATATACACAGGTTTTACTGAATTCATAATTGCATATTCAGGTACAATTATTAAAATTCATCAATTTCTTTGATGAAGTTTGGGATAGTAATGTACATGATATAAGGTATCTAAATTAAGAATTTTCTAGAATTGGTTATTTCTATGACTTATATATTTATATATTGTTGTCAATTAGTTTGCGGTTTTCTCATCTCATTGCATAAAAAATATAAACTGAAATATTTACAGAAAAAAGTCCTGCGTCAGTGTCTCTTGATGGTGAACGTTATTCACTGTTTTTAATATAGGTGATATTTTCGATCTGAGTTCGGCATTTAGTCCTCTTTAAGCTGTTAGGAGTGGATTAATATTTCAATGTCCGTCAAAAAACATAACTAATTTAGTTAGGTCTTAACCCCCCCACCTCCTTCTAATGAAAGTCGAAATCTTGAATTTGCCCTGCAGGGTAGAGTCAAAATGTTGATTTGGGTGCAGTATACAAGTACATTGCAACTCCCATAAACAACACATATCCAATTATCTTAGGTATCTCTTGAGTATACCTAATGATCATACCATTGCAGAAGAAACCCCAGGAAACTAAAATCAATGTCTGTCACCTAATTAAAAAGCATTTTACCCCCTCCCCCTAGCATTATTAATTATGTTTTTGACGGACATTGAAATATTGACCTGACTCCTTAAGTTTATAGACCGAGTAAACATTATATCAAATGTTATAAAATATACAATCTGATAGCTACCTGAATTTATATTCAGCAAATAGTTTAAACATAAACGCACAGTGATAAAAATACCACTTGAACACAAAGAATATAAAATTATTTAAAAAATGAAAGTTGAAAAGAAATAGAGTGCATGTAATATAAAAGCTCTTATATAGTTTGTTTTATAGGCAACTTGTGAGATTTCAGCCCAGTTTTCATTTAGAAAGATTTCATTTTTAAATGACAGTAACTTCAACAGATCACAACACATATTGATGTTTCTAAAATGTGTCCTACTAGTATATAGTATAACAATTTCACTCATATCTCCCATTATTAAGCAGTGTCCCATTGACATCAATCCAATACTTGTTTTGCTGCATTTAAGTGATTCTTACAGACCCATGCGTTATAAGACAGCAGAACTCCATGAAGAATAACTTCAATATTTTTTGAAAACAACCTTTGCTGACTAGTCTAGACAGTATTCTTTGATTTGTATGCTACACATGACTGATATGTCATTCATGACATCAAACAAGGCAATAGAAGACAATACTAGTATAGTACATGTATATTGGCATTTTGCACTTGCGTAACTGTTAAGGTCCCGACATAGAAATGTTTTGACATCAAGATAAAACTTACTCACTTCGAGAGCCATGTTAGATTTTAAAACTTATGGCTCTCAAATGGGGAAGTAGACAGCTCATCGATTGTGACCTTTGAAATTGAATTAAGTCGATCAGCGGCCTACTTTTGTTCTCTAACTATGCTATACATCATTATCATCCTTCTGTGCAAGTATTGGAGTGCTGAGGTACTTCCTTTTCGATCAAGACTTGTAATTGTTAGTCGAGTGAATGTTTTTACTGCCGAATTCCAATATGGCGTTTTCTGCTCGGACATTTTCGTACATTTCCGGAGGTTGTCCGAACCTAACTAATTCTCAAAATTCATTTCGTTCGTTGCGTATCTCGCTCCTAGCAAACCGCCATATTGGAAATAGGTCTAAAAAACATTCACTCGATGAACAATTTACAAGTCTTGATCGAAAAAGAAGTATTTCAGCGCTCTAATACTTACACGGATTGATGATACTGATGTAAGACACTGTTAGAGACCAAAAGTAAGCCGCTGATTGACTTAATTCGATTTCAAAGGTCACAATCATTGAGCTGTCCAAATGCTCCGTGGGAAAGCTATTATATCAAAATCCAAATAACTTTCGCAGGAAGTAAGCCATTACCACATTAGGATTTCTATATTCTGTTAAACTCTAATACATACAACTAAACCTGTATCTGAACACTTCTCTAATCTGAATATTTGAAATATCTCGAAATTTGAATACCTATCAATCTGAATACTTTTAGATGGTCCCAGTGGCATTCACATAAGACTGATTTAAATGTTCATGAACACACTAAAACTGTAAATGCAAAATGATCGCAGTTATTGAACTGGCATGAATGAGTGACTGATGTTGGTGGTTTGTTGGTACCCAATACGTACATCTCCACATCACTTTAACAAAATGATAGCTTTTATTGCACATCATTGTCAATGTCATGCATTGAATGCATTGAATTTTAATTAATTTTTCATGAATCACATGCATTGAATTTTAATGTTAAAGTAATACGGGTATACCTAATGCACTGGCAAGGCCAGGATCTATAAGATTCACTCACACACACAGAGGTTTCCCTGTATTCTAATAGTGTGAGGTTGGTAGCATCCCTAGTGCAGCTAAGGCGTATCTTTCATGTTCACTTGTCTGTGATGAAGTCATTCCTAACAAACCAATGGTATGTCTTTCATATTCACTTGCACTTGAATGTGTCGTATGAGTCGATGGCGTCATTATACGTTGATTATAACGGTCATGCTCACTAGCTTGTGATGATAGATTCATACCTACTGGAGTCATCTCCCTGGTTAATTCCCTAGTGTATCTATCATATTCATTTATCTGGGCTTGGTTAGGGGGCACTGGTGGTTGTGGTTGGGTTTGCTGTAGGGGTAGATGTGGGAGTTGCATCTGTTGATGCTGTTGAGGTTGATGTTGTTGTGGTAGAGGTTGTAATGTATGGTGCTGCTGTTGTTGAGGTTGTTGGACTATAGGTGGGGCTGGTGGTGGTGGGGGCGGAGGTAGGTGGCGCTCCTGGTTGTGTTTAGTCATGCCCGTCTTAGAGTAACAGCTATATTCACATTTCTCACACTTAATGCACTCTTTCTCCTGAAACTGGAACATATAAAGATGGTTAACATGGTTTCAATCTCTCAATTAATCATGATTTCAACCAAGAATCTGTTTCTTAACCAATCATAGTTCATGCATGTTTTGAATCTTGACATCAGCCAATCATTTTATATATTTCAAACAAGAATAGGCATCTTACATACATTTTGCATTATGTATGCTTTAAAGCAGAAGTTCATTAGAATACTCTTAGGGATCCTCTAAAAAAATCACACAAAATTTTACAAGTAATCCATTTCATTACTTGGTAGACATTTTGGAGGTGACGATTAAATATAGTCAAACTTAAGAAATTATTTCCACATTGTATTTAAAAAAAGATTTAGTGCAGAACATACTTTATAAATGACACCCTATATTATATTACCTTGTTGTCAATTAGTTTGTGGACATTTCTTTTATGCTTCTTCAAACCATCTTTAAACTTGAATGTTGCATTGCAAGCTGGCATATCACATTCAAACTTTGTATCTAAAAAGAACAATTAATATGTTTTAATTTGAATGTCACATTGCAAGCTGGTATATCACATTCAAACTTTGTATCTAAAAAGAACAGTAAAAGTCTGATCTATGTAAAACGCAAGATTTGGATGTATTTTTATTTTTATAAATTTGACAACTGACAAGATTATGAATGCCTATATATTAAAATGACATCGTTAATAACGGTATTTCCAGTGCAGAATAAAAGCACAACAAAAAATAAAATATCATTTCGGATAACCCAGGAGGTGAACCATGGTATGACCACGCTGGAAATGAGCATTTTACCCCTGACCATATGGGCTGAATGTACAGGAGAGGTAAATCAACGCTACTCATCCAAACGGCTTTAAAGGGATCCAACACCTTACAAAACTTCTTAACGGAGAGGAATAAGGGAAAATGCTTGCCAGCTTTTGAATCTGTGTATTTTTTAATGATTTTTCACCGTCTTAGAATTTCAATTTTTTCCTTTGAAAAAATGAGATTTGCATTGTTTTCCAATTAGAAGATGAGTAAACATGAATAGCTCGAAATCTAACGGTGAGATTTTGTTGTATAAAATCATGGTTATCAAGGCTAAATATAGCTATACAGTAAACATAAAAAAGCAATGCTTGGACTCTTCATATTCACACAAAAAATTAATTAGTAAATGAGGTTTGATATTTGTGAGAACAAGTTGTACGAGGTGCAATGCTCTACAAACACCAGACTACAGGGTGGATTAGGATCAATGACACACATAAAAATTAATTTAAAAATATTTCATGATAATTATCTCAAACAAAAGCAGTTGGCGAAGGATACGTTTCATTACACTCAATAAATAGTTATCACTTTTGACGATATATACATATCTCATGGGAATGTATTTCCATCTGCTCAAGATATTATATTTTAGCTTCAAAAATCACAATCGTTTGACAATACATTTATCTCAGAATGATAGGCCACCCTGTAGCAATGTAGCTTTCACTTGAAGTGTACCCTTGAGAATAATGAACTTACTTTCAAATTGGTCTTGCTTTTGTGGTGTTTGTGGCTTTTTAGCAAATCTGCCAAGCTCATTTCTTTCCAGAACCATCATCTTGTTCAAATGTATCACTATACGCGCATGTATAGACAGATGACATAGATAAACATATAAATTATATATTGCACCTGTATTTACTTACATGGGAATAATTGTTCCCTTTGGAAAAATGCAAATGCATGGACATATATTTTCATCTTATATATGACTTCAAGTCAACATATTATTTCATATCTATATTTTCATAGTTAGTTTAACATGAATAATAGATCCATGAGAACAATATTCTTTGTTTTTTTAAATTGATGGGTTTACTGTGAATTCAATAAATTACAATTTGCAAGGGGTAAGTATACTGTATGAGCTGGCTAGTGGCTTTGTATTTTATGTTAGGCCAGGGTAATTAAATTAGTTGTTTCTCTTTCTTCTATTTTTCAAAATTGATACGGGAATGACGGTTTTTATATTACCTTTTTTTGTCTATCTAAAATGCTGATGAGGGACGGGATGATTTTTTTCTTTAAAATAACTGTAAAAACAAATAACTAATTTTGAAGGAAATAAACTGGGTTTATGTTGAATTTATATGTTGAATTTAGCCTACTTTACTGGTATATTTGATCATATATCAGAACCACGATATTGTCAATTATCCCGATCCATAAAAAGTAAAAAAAAGTGTTTCACACGCCATGGATGCGCGCGAGGTATGGTGTTTTTTTTCTTAGAAATGGCAGAAAAAGGTGGAGGGGGATTGGGCCACACGCGGGCAAGAATGAGAAACAACTAATTTAATTACCCTAACCTTAGTTCATCCAGTAGTTCGTTTTTACTGCAAAGTAGTGTTTTTATATGCAGCTTAATAGCATAAAATATGTTGAATGAAGCATATGGTGTGGATAAGTCGTGTGACACACAAACTGACCAAATACATGAGGGTATTAGCTACTTTTCACATAAACCAAAGGAGGACAGTGCTTTTGTTTCAACTATGTTCAAAACTTAGTGTGGCAATCTTAGAATGTTGTCTTCAAATGGCTCTGAAGTAACTTTTACTGTATTCAATTACCACAGTTTGTAATGTGCTCTGATTGGAGAAAAACAGTCAGAGGAGTAAGTCGAGTTATACGCAACTTACCTCTGTGAGATCGCATGTGTTTTCTCCATGAATCCCTCGAGACGAAGCTTTTCCCGCACAGTTCACACGTATATCTCATGACTCCTGAATGACACTCTACATGTTTCTCCATCAAATCACGTCTCAGCGTCCAGTATTGACAACCAGGATGGTCACATTGCAACCTAAAATAGAAAAAATAATATTAAACCTGTAAACTGACACTTTTCACTTAAGTGATGAAAGAATGGTCTCATGTTCAACACTTTGTGCACATTTTCAGGTACACTGTACTGGGAGTCTTGATACAATACAACACAACACAATACAACACAATACAATACAATACAATAAAATACAAAAAGATGTGTTTCTCAAAATTAGCAACTGATTCAATTACAATACCATTTACATCTTAAGAGTGGAAATTAATTGTAAACGAGGCATTACATGCAAAATGTCAACACCTACCATTTGTTACAGACGCTTAACACTGGATGCAGAACACCACCTGCTAAACACTAACTGCCAAACACCATCCACAAAAAAGGTTGAAGACTATAAAAACTGTCACGACTTGTGGTCATGACATAAAAATCATGATTTTGAACACTATTGTCTAGGTAAAACAGAAACAGCACTAGGTTTAATTGACACAACACAGTGCTTTGATGAAGTCTTCCAAAGTAGCACAGTTCAAATGATGAGTATCTCACCTCTCATATTTATCAGGGATTGCTATGCCATGTTTCTTATTTTCATGTTCAGCAAGATCTTTGTAGCCGATGTAGCGATTATTGCATGCAGAACACATCAGACGGGGAACAATAGGAACATGGGCAGCATTCCGTATACGTCTTATGAATTCCTTTTTATGTGCTAAACACACATATTGCTGAAAAAAAACAAGAAGTCATATCAGCATTAATTTAATGAATAAAGAATCCTGTATCATTTTTATTGGAAACTTAAAAGCATGAGAGTATTAACTAATCCATACACATAATGAGCGAGGTTGGAGTCTGAGTATGTTATCAAGATGGGCCAGTACATAAATGAATGCTTTTAAATCCAATAAAATGATAAAGGGAAGTAGTAGGTACTGATAAAGGGAAAAATAGAGGGGTTCTTTATTGTAATCTATCCCACGATTAATGTGTTATCTGTACAATAACAGCTGTTGATATTTCTGATATTATTGAAATCCGTGTGAGATTTTCCAGAAAATCGTTTATCAAACTCATATGCGTGTGATATTGTTTATCTCACCCATATCCGTGTGATATCACATTTGCATTTCGCGCCACAATATTGTTGGAAATTAGGTCAGATAATTTATTCTCTTTTGAGAAAATAGGTCCATTAATTTATTCTCTTTAAGTTTCATTGGTGTATTAAATTACGATTGTGTATATAATTTGATTAGAAGGCTGCTAACTTACGATTAAAAAATGGTATTTATGACGAACTATATCGTGTTATTTACTCTTAATTGTTAGAATAAAGTGTTTCAAATATTCAATTGATATTCTAATTTCTAGTTTATATTGTCTGCCAATGTCCTGGAAATTGGATCAGAACATCACAAGGTGATTGTAATCATGGGATAAACCCAATATCACATAATTTCTCGTGATATCATTTTATCGCCTCGTAGATATCAAATATCAACACTCATTCGCTTCGCTCACTCGTGTTGATATTTGCTATCAACTCGGCGATAAAAATGATATCACTCAAAATGATGTGATATTCTGTATATATCTCTCATTAAAAATGATATTGTCCAGTTATTTATGAAACTATTATGCACTGTGATGATGTCACACTTTACAAGTAATGGTGCTGATCAGTTCATTATGACACCTTAATGCACTGTAAAATAGTTTACCATATACATTAAATCAATACATGGAAATACTCTAAGCTAATAGGCTGAGACATATTTGAATCGGAAATCATTCATTTGCAATGGAGCAATGTATGATTGTAACTCAACCTTTGACATCATAACTCAACCTCTGACATCATAATTCAACCTCTGACATCATAATCAAACCTTTGACATACCTTTTTGTAGTAGTTCTTTTTATTGCACATTGTTCCACAGTTTGGGAACTCACATTTAACATTATTGACTTTGGAGTGGACATCTGTTATATGTTTCAACATGTTTTTCACACTTGCTCCACAGAACTGAAAATAAAACACTTATGAGATAGGTGGCAGCACCAGGTGTGTGTGTAATAAATGTAATGATGGCAAAAATTGGAGTATATATATGAGGAGTCATCAAGGACTGCTCAACTGAATTGTAGCTTGTGTCTTTAGTATGCTATGAAATTTGTATAATTTAATAATGTAACATCATTTAATATTAAATGTTATTTGGGATAGAAAACATTCAATTGAAAGTCATTTTTAAGTATTATTGCTTCAGATAAAATAAGTTCTCCAATTTGATGTGGAAAATATATTCATCAGCAATAAACCTCCACCCGTGACCTTGGTTTCGTTCTGAGACACTTTTAACAGTCTATCTCAATTGTATACCATACCTTACAATTTGCTTTTTTAGTTTTGAATATCTTGTGCTCATTCTTCATGTGTGTTATCAGATACTTGGTACTGTTTGCAACATATTCACAGCCTTCTACCTGTCAACAGAAAAGAACTTGATCAAACACATGGATCATTTATGAACCATCACTTATCAAAGTCAAGGATCATCACTGATGAAACACAGGGATCATCCTGGCGATACTTATTTTGGCAGATTTGCTGTTTTGAACATTTGGCGGTACTTAATTTGGCGTACTTGCAATATTATAATGTAATAATGGTACTACTTTACAGGGTACTAATATAACCGGGGAAATTGCCAGCTACTTAATTTGGCAGACTTTAACATACTTGGTGGATCCACCCAAAAAAACGGTAGCCAAATTAAGTAGATTAGTACAGTATCCAATATTTACCTCACACTGATGCACTAAGTTTGCCTCTTCAAAGTGATTCTCCTCCATATGTTTTGCCAACTCTGTTAAGCCATGTTTTCCATAACTCGTAAAATCATCACAATGATTGCACTGTACGAGAACACCCTGGTTCTTATGGCCCTCATTTCTATGGCAACGTAGCATGTGCTCTGTGTGGAACATTGCTGAGCATTTATTACACTTGTATTGTTTGGAACGGGCGGAGTTTCTGGAAGATCTGGTGCGTACAGAATCGTCACCCATTGTGACATCATCAGTAGATGTATCAACTTTCTGAAACAAATTGATTTTGTCAAAAATAACATCAGCAAAATGACTTTAAATTATAAGTTTAAACCCTGAATATTGACATTATGTATTTGCAATTGACAAACTGATCAACTTGAATTATTATTTTAAAAACAACTAAACCTCTCATAAGCTTAAGCTTAAAAGTTAAGCTTAAAATGGTAAATCAAATGGAGTGGAAAGGCGTGTAATCAAAAAATAATACACAGATGATGAATGTGAAGATAAATGATGAAATAAGCAAGGGATATTACCGTATCAGTGGTTTTGTTATGGCTGTTAGTATGCTTGTCCAAGTCTCCCTGAAGGCAACATGAGTAGCTGCAGCCATCAACCTAAATATGAATAAACGAAACATTAACATGCAAAATGTCACAACCAAACTAACTTATTTTACTAAAATCACGACTATTATGTAGTTTAAATTTGACAATTAAAAAAAGCTTGTTTTTGTTACTGGTACTGAGCTCAATGTGTAAACATTTTAATATTTTTTTCTAAAATAAATCAGAGTCAATTTAGGGCCTGCATTTGTGTCTATAATTAAATCTGGTGGTATGCATATAATAACTGAAAAATAAGGCTATGTAAAGCAACACTAACACTTAAATTCCAATATTCTCTAAATGCACTTGATAAGTTATTGATATTTAAGTCTTGTGTTACTCACCTTGCAATGTAACGGTGGATATCCAGTTGTACTTTCTGAGTGTTTCATAAAGCGATGTGACGCCAGGTCATCTTTGCTATCAGTCATATAATCACATTTACTTAATGGACACCTTCCGACCCATTTCCCATCATGCACTCCAAGAATGTGGAACCGTAACGGACGTATTGATTCAAAATCCTCATCGCACAGATGACACGGTAAAACCCTACGCCATTCACCAGTTTTGGTCCTCGTTTCCTCAGCAGGGATATTGAATAATCGTTTAGAGTATTTTAGGTCTAGTAATTTCAGAGTTACCTCTTCAAGCATGTCAATTTTTGGATCAAACACAGCATCTCCATTTTCAGCACGTTCTACCTTTATGGGTTCAAATTTACATTCTTGTCCAGCTTTTTCGTGCATTTGTCTATGATGTTTGTAGTTTTTAGGATTGACCTGGATATATTTGCAGAATTCTACCTGAAAATAAAGGTTAGGTAAAACATTAAATCCTTGAATCTTGATCAAATTTTATGTTTTAAATCGTAAACTCGTAACATTTCTCCAAACATCATTACATCAAAATATCCTAAATATCTTTGCTGGAATGTTTATTACCTTGGATGATACAAGGATATAACCCATATCTAACCCCTCTATAATATGATATGAAGAAAATATACAAATACATGTATAAAAAAATGATAAAAAATAGATGAGAGGAATAGCTTACTGTGCACATTTGTAGTGGATATTCCATTGTGAGTTCACGATGTTTGATATAAAGATGTGATGCGAGATCCCCTCTTTCTCTGGACAAATACTCGCAATGTTTATGATGGCACAGGCCGACCCATTTATGTGTGTGATTAACCATATTGTGAATCCTGAGGTAGGTTGTATTAGAGAAAACCTCTGAACATGTACTACATGTAAACCTGTCTTTAAGTTCATTACTACAAGCTTCAACTTTGGATGTGGCTGAATTATCACTTGAATCATGTTTCACAGTAGGCTTCACAGCTTCTGCTCTTTGAGACCGTTTGCGTAGAGATTTCCGTTTAACTTTATCAGCTTTCTGTTTCTTTGAAGGAACTGGTGTGAATTCATGATCTTCTGATGATTCTGATGGCTTTCTGCGTCTTTTCTTTTTGGTACGGTCTTTGGACTTTGATGATCGATTTGTACGTTTTCTTAGAGTATAATGCATTGGTTTGGAATCTTCCTCAGATTCACTGTCATCAACATCGGGATTACTAATGTAGAGATCAGTGTCGTCACCTTCTTCAGTTAGTTCAATATCAGTTTTTGGATCATTCTCTTCATTATGATCAATATTAGCACTAGCTTCAATTGTATTGTCATCTTTATCAACGTCATCTTCAACTGCATCTTGCATCTCATGTTTCAACTCATCCTCCTTCAACTGTTCAGGAGTTGAGTCATCCCCTACTCCGCCAACTAACTTATTGATATATGAAAAAATATATGAAGTAGCAGTTTCTAACTTTAACACAGCACAAATTGATAGCATATTTGAGTAGTTATTTTTGTTGATCTCCAACTCCCCTGTATACATATATCGGATAATATTCAAAAGATCATGAAATTCAATATGTCTGTCAAGGACAATATTGAATTCTGGGATGTTTGGCGAGCTGTTTTGGAAACCGAGTAAATATTCGGAGGTCGAGAGAAGGATGCACTTGTGTGCTGGCAGAGAGAGACTTCCAACTTTTACCATGACATCACAAAGATGTCCCTGTTCTCGCATATTCCATAAACATGTGTGAAGTTTGGATATGTAGCTTTGGTCTGTAAAAACCTGGAAGAAAAAAATTGATACAGAGGAACCAATATTTGGACTAATTGGAGCACGGAAAAAGAATACCACAAAGTTACAATTACGATGTCAAATGCTGGTCACAAAATTGGTGACCTAAATAACAACATATTTGGTTACAACATAACATTGTACTAAAAAAAATTACACATGTGACAATGATTTCTCCATCCCCAGTAATCAGGTGCCCCACCTTTTGAAAAATCAGATGTTACCAATGTTGAAATTCTTTTAGCACTCTTAAAAGGATATCAAGATATTTCGTTAGAATTAATTATGATTTAACACTCTTCTGGGGAAAAAACTGGGGATATCATTGCATAAATTCATTCAGTGGGCCAATTACTTCTTAGATTACCTGTGTTGAAGGTGGAGCCTGAGGGGGGCTAACATCAGACATCATGTATTGATTCATCTGTTCTGACATTGTCGCAAATCTGTGGCCTGCAGTAGAGGATGTTTCAATATAGTAGGGGCAAACATACATTGTTGTATCAAACATCATAAGTAGAACATTTGCAGATATGAATATCTTTGAATAATACAGGATAGGTGTTGGCTATGCAACATGTATAACTGACCTACCATTGCCATGTTTATCCAGGGGCGGTCTTGAAAAGAGGGGGCCAAACTTCTCGAAAATAGACCCAAAATTTAAAAAAATTATCCTTGGTAGTGCCACATATTAAAAGAAGCAGAAAAAAGTTCAAAATGTATTCAGTCATGGAGTGCCATCAATTTTTACTGCAAGATGAGGAATGTGTTATTTGAAATTGCCATTGAAATAGTTTCATAACAACTGACCAAAAGCACAAGAAAACCACCATAGGCCAAGGGAAAAGTACATGCAGTATTAGCTCGATGAGATCACAGGTGCAAAACTTTAATTGAATTTTTTTTCAAAAACTTGTCTTGGCGAGAGTTCTCCTTACTGGTACTGAATCTCAAAATCTCTCCAGAATCTTGCCTTTTAAACCTATATTATTCCTTGTTTCAAATATTTATTTTAAGATTAAATTTGATAATGCATAAAAAACAAAAACAACGATCAAAGATATCTGCATTTACCTAGCAAGTTAACACTTCAGGATAAATGGACTCTTGTAACAAATGATAGAAGAAGAAGAAGTAAGTGGAGGTGGTAAATATCAAATTACTTGTTTCAATCGTACATCTTTACCCTGAAATCAACTTGCTATGCAAATGCACATTTTCAGAAATTCTCAGCATTATTCACTCGATATCATTTGAATCGGTTTCAATCAAAGTACCAACCGACCATTGTTTTTAAAAATAATGCATTGTTGGCATTGCCATGGTAAAAAGTGGTTTCAGTTGAAGCATGGGCTTTCAACTCTAATTGAAAGCCCATGGTTGAAGTTATGCATGTGTGATATTTCATATTGAACTTAAATACTACTTTTCCCTTGACCTATAGACACCCCCCCCCCCATAATATAAACACAAAAGAACTTCAATTCAAAAATCAAATGAAAAACTAAGAAATTCGGACACTTCCGCCTTACGTTTGAAGCATTCTAGCAGATGTATAGTACACTCAGAATAACAAATTTGTAATATTTTTAATCGTTATATTCCTATGCATCAATCAAATGTATCTAAATTCAATTATATACATTATTGTTGCAGTAAGAAAGGAAATCATTCGTAAATACCTGGAGTTTATTTTGAAGGCCAAATCTCCTTTTTTGAAGAGTATATCCAGTAGATTCACGAACGATTATATCTTAAGGCGAAATGCGAACGGTATCCTATAGTATTACTAACATTCCCATGGAAAAGGTTGATATCAAGTTATTTTAACTTTTATGTTGCATTTAATATTGCTAGTCTTCCTTTAAGAAAGCAACTGAGAGAAGGCTGTGACATTTCATAATGGCCCAGAGGCTCTGCCTTATGCATTTTTTCTACAGACATGGGAAAAGATAGCTGAGTTGTCCTGGGGAGAAACCCCCACACATGTAATAAGGAGAGTGGAGGGATTTTTTCCAGGAAAACTCTACTATCTGTTCCGATGCCTGTGGTTTTTCATTTTATTGAGTATAATTTTTTATATTCAGAGAAAGGTACGGTACTACGGTATCATTTCTAATACTATTGAGGTAAATACCTGTGCAACCATCACAAGTGATATACCACGAAGCCCAGACTGTCTTTTTCAATGTTTTCAAAATGTTGCCATAAAGTGTGTGGAGACTTTTTTGCATCAGTATGTTGTTGCTAAATAGCTTATTCATCCTTTATGACACTGTGATCCTCAGTCCTCACAACTTTGTTATTTAAACAAAGGCCATCAGCCTTACAAAATACAAACCCTCCCCAAATGATTGAAAAGCAGGGACTGTTGCTATATTATGAGAAGGAATCAGGAACGATTTCAAATCCAAACTACTTTTGAGGCGAGTACAAATACATTGTTCTAGAGACGAAAATTGCATGTAAAAGATACTAACATGCTCACTGATTTCATTTGCTGTTGGTGGGCCAATTGTCATCATATCAAATTTTCTCAGAATTCTAAATCATTCATTACGGCAAATTTGGCCATTTTCAGATTACTCTGAAGTTCCATGTCTAATCCCAGGTCATGAAAAACCAGTTTTACACAAAACAATATTGACAAGAGTTATTGTTGTATATTTGTAAATTTATTTATTTATTATTTCATATTAAAATCACCTGTTAAATATACAGGGTGTGCCAATTTTTGCAAATTTTTAAAAGCCTAGAAAAGTATCATAACATTAGGGTATTGACAAAAAAATTATTTACAGAGAGTTATATTTTACTATCAAAATACTTAAGCTAATACTGACTTTAAATGTGTCTGAGATTTACTGTTTTTCAAAGAAAATGTGACTTTCTATGATTTTATGTGATCAATAACACATTCTAGCCTTTTAAAAAGTTGCAATTGCTTGGCTCACCCTTTAACATGACATGATTTCATATATTTCATACAGGTAGTTTTCTAATTTGCATCTCAGTATTATAATAATAATAAATACAGGCAATTGCCTCATCAAAATCTTACATAATTATTTTCAGCAAACCTATGAAAATTATGTCCCATAGAAGAACTACAGGCCCGTAGCCAGAATTTTCCAAGGGCACGTTTTTCTAAAAAATTCTAGGGGGGAGTTCACTTTGGCAAATATGGCCTAAAATCACTCAAAAATTAGTCAGAATGGTGAAAAACTGCATGATTTTAAAAGAAATTTTGGCCAGGGGGGGTTCGCCCGAACCCCCCAAACCCCCCCTGGCTACGGGCCTGAACTATAATTGTAACTTTATATTTTATTCTCTTGGCTTAGTTTTGTCTGTTTTTGGATAATGCCATTTGTAACTAATTAGTTCAAATATTATTCAAACTACATTATTTCCTGTGTTTTAAATATATTATTGTCCATGTATATTCCCACATTTCTGTACAATCTCTCGAATATGCATGAATGACATGTATTTGATTTTAATCTTAATACACATAGTAATACTATAGTATACTGATAGTATGCTATTTATCGACTCAACAAGGGGTCTCACATTTTAATGCATGTAGCTCCAAGACACAGCAAGCAAGCACAGATGCTATGACTGAGTCTGAATAAAACCTTTGCTGACGTGCTGATTTACATTTTTCTTCATTTTTTATGTCCATAGACTAAGCTATAAAACATTACCAGTTTACAACTCTGCAAAATATTTTTCTGCTGACAGAATTTTCTTGAATACAATATTTATGTAAATAAATATAATGTATAGATCTAAGTACACAACATTACTGATTACCACCATGTACTGTACTCCTAGTTCTGTTTGCATGCTTCTTATTTTCACATTTTTGAATTTTGAAAACCATGGGCGTAGCACTATTGTTATGAGTAGTACGCCACCCAGGAACATGAGTTGGAGCGATTTGACATAACCATCTGGTGCGCCTGTGCTACACCCATAAAAACTGCACAATAAATAGCTCAAAGAAAAAATTGATCACAGCGTTATTTCAAAATCACAATAACATGAAATATTTGAGTGTCAAATATTACCATGAGTACAGTAAATTGTTGTCTACAATCATATGAACCAGTGATCCTAATTCCCTCCAATTCCTCATAATTTATATACCATATCTACAGTATTTACAAATTGTACCCCTATATACAATATGTACATTCTATACAAAAATATCACCCAATTATTGTTTAATATTTACAATTTTTACAAGCTATTCACAATAAATTAATTTTAACAAAAAAAATACATCCAAAGTGTTCTTAAAGTGAATGTTAACAAGGCATTAACATGCAAATGCAGCAAAATGTCACCACCTGCCATTTGTTACAGATGTCAACCACCGAACCCTAACAACACTGTCCACAACAAAAATTGGAGACTATAACAAAAATATGTCAACACTTTTGGTGGTGGCTTAATGAAAGATTACTAATAGTATGTGATTGTAAACACTCTAATAATGAACACAACATTGATATGTGACTCTTTCAGTCCCCATTTTTTGTATCTGACCATATAGGGGGAAGAACGGGGTAAAGAGCGAATCCTGAGGCTTGCATATATTCGTTTGAGGCTCAATCATCATTGTTGAGATAGAAGCACGACCCTCTTCTACCTAGACCAACTAGGATGGGCCAAATATATTTGGGGATTTTTTAAAATATTCAACCCCACTGGAAAAAAGGGCCTCAAAGTTCAGATAGGCCATAATTTTCTGACTTTAATATGGTTTTTGGCCCCATTGTCTACATTTACATTTGTTCAATACTGTAGATACACTTAATTTGACGCTACTTAACGAATTTGCTCAATTTCATATATTGACGGCTATTTTCTAATTTGGCAGAGTCAGCACTGAGCTCAAGTTCTATCATAGATCTGGAAATAAACAATTCAGATTCATGTGCTCTACTTTCAGTAAGTCTTGGTATAGCACTGACATCCAAATAGGAATACTTACACAAGTGAAACAATTGCAAATTACAAGTTCTTTAGGGATTTTCCAAAATAGACCTGAAAATTGGCAGATTTTTAATTTGGCGGATTTTTTCAATCCGCCAATCCGTCATATTTAAACGGTAGCCATATATGTAATCACTAAGTAAGGCAAAGTCGATCAGAAATGATTTAAATCAATCTGTCAGTACTTCAACCACAGAAATAAGACCAGTAAGACCCTTGATAATGCTTCTTGGCAATCTTAAAATAAAAAATTTTAGATAAAAAAGAAATAAGACCACTGACAGTAAATGACAGCATGTTTCAACAATTCTATATGGATTCTGTTTCGTTGATCAAAGAAACAAGAAAGTTCAAGATACATTAGGCCGAGGTAAATAAGAATGTTAAAAAAACATTAGGCCTAGGTAGATGATATATTCAGGAATCAGGATACACTAGGCCGAGTTGAAGTAGGTCGTGTGGTTAGCAGCAAGTTAACTTGTTCCATTGCAGGTGTAGCTACAATCTGCATGTCCTCCTCTGAGTAATTCTCCTGCAACATCTGGTGTAAACTTTGGAAGATTTGTTGTACATTCATCTGCAAATAGACAAACATTAAATTAAATAAAAAAGGCATTAACATGACAAAATGTCACCACCATGTAAGTTATTGCAAATTGTTACAAATGCGGGACTACAGACACTGACCACAAAACACCATTACACCTACACTGCAAACACAAGGAACCCAGACTGTACACAGCTAATCTCAAACAGTACCGTACAGTACCGTTTTGGCTACCGTACTGTGCGGTGCTGTGAAATATGGTACCATAAAGTAGGGGTCAAACGGTTCAAAATTCCAACGGTTCGGTTCGGTCACGGTTTTTAGGTTCACGGTTCGGTTCTTTCACGGTTCTCGCGGGTCTCGTAAATTACTAATATTTCCTTATAAAATTGTAAAGACAGCTCATAAAAAAACAGGTTTTAACTTTCTTTCTAGCCTTGCCCAAGTTGGTCACTTTCTGGTCCCACTATCCTTTTTTATTAAATTGACTAAGTTGACAAAGCAAAGTTTATTGGCCTAATGGCCCACTTTAAATTTTAAACTTTAGATTTTTCTGTCCTTGATAAGATTTCTGTCAGATAAGAGCTGAGATCTACATGTAGCACAAGCAGTAACATAGCCCCGGGAAAATGCATAAAAAGATTGAGTCGAATACACCAAGTAAAGAGATCTCTTTTTGGTGTATTCAACTCATCTTTTTTATTATACATTTTCCCGGACCTATGAGCAGTAACTTGAGGAAAAAATTTACTTCATGACCTCCCTACAGATTCTGCATATTGATACATTGTCCTTTGATTTCCCATTTACGATAGGAAAACCCCAAAAATTCCAAACGTTGATTTTGTATTTCAATAATTGAGATTTAATCTCGCAATTCTTGTAGTCTGTCAAAGCAGCTGAATCAGCACAGATGGCGCTGCGATTGTGCGGGAGATTTAAACACAAATATGTTTCAAGTTTTTAACAAAGACATTAGTAATGTTATAATTTCTGTAATTGCAGTATTTTTTAAATAATATTGATTAAAAACTAACTCATTATAACAGACAAAACACCTCCACGAAGCAAAATTAATTGTACTATGAATAGCGTAATCTGGCGAGACCAACTTCCGGTCTATTTATATGTCACAAAACTGTAAACAATTACTTGTCTATCGATTTGTGAGCGATCTGTTTCATATCTAAGGTAAGAATTGAATGTTCTCTATTGCTATAAACATGTTTTTAAGGAATATATACATGAAGAATAAGTTCATGTCGAACGAAAGAGAGAATATTGAACTCTAAAAAATTTCATTTTTCAATTTTTCCTCGAACCGTGAATGAACCGAATCTCATATTTATGAACCGAAAATACCGTCCTAGCATCATTAACCGCGGTAACCGCGTACCGCGGTTAACCGTTTGACTCCTACCATAAAGTACCATAGACTAAAACACTACTGAACAGTACCATGAACAGTGTATGGCACCATACTAAAATGGTACGATACGGTACCATGCGCTAAATGTACCATACAGTACCATGATTTTAGAGTGCGGATTGGGGGTGTAATATAGTTTACAGTTCAGTACAAGTAAATAGCTAAAATGCATATGATATAAAGTCAGTGTTCAATCTTCACTGCAAAAATTCTCAGCGTGATCAATACCTGATGGAGATTCATACAAGTATACTTGAGTACGAACTTAATAATTAAATAAAAACTTTATCGGCCAAATAATTGCATTACTCTACCTTGATTGGTTTAAAGAGAATATACTCTGTGTCCCTATTGGCTAGATATAAACCCATGCTGCGTTGCACTTTGGGTAACTTTGATTTCAGGTTGCGATAGGTTTCCGCTACAGTATCATGCAGTTTTTCTGGACTTGCAAATGGTTGGTTTTTTAATGAGACTTTCCTTCCACCTTTTTCTTTGTTCATTTTTAGTATCACAGTAGACTGAAAGTATAAAATTATAAACTCACAACAAAATAATCATTATTAACATAATATAATATATTTTTAGAACACGTCATTAAAAAGAAATTATATAAACCAGAGAGATGAACTTAAACATATATATGTATTAATTCAATATGTATTTAATATATGAAGTAAAGATTAGGTACATACCTTATCGATGAAGATTCTGAGTGGTCCAGTGAACAACTCAGTGACATGGTGTATCAGATCTTCACATGTTGTTTTTAATTGGTTATCCACATCACGCTTAGAGTCAACAAAGTTCTCCATCACTTGTGGAGTGCCCTGAAAAATATAGACGTGAATATGTGTACAGAGAGAAAGGCATGTATACTACAGTCCATATGTAATCATTTAAGATATATACAAAGCATTGCTTAATTATGCTAAGATTATGGTTACTAGGTAAGTGTGAGCTGGGAAGATTATAATCCAGACTCCATGCATGATAAATTCAAAACATATGCATGTCATTCAATAGCCTAATTCTGAATAATCTTGTATAAAGACAATGGGTAACACCCCTCCCCTTCAAAAACACGTTTAACTGAAAAACAATCAAACCATGTATTAAAAGGAAATACAGTTTATGTAATCTAAAACATGAAACAAAAACATAACTGGTAAGTTAATGCATTTACTAGGAATTGATAAACAATTTTAAAAACCACATTTTCAAGTGTAATTTGTATTTATATTTCAACTTTTAAATTTTGATATTAAGTTATCTAGTCTTTTTGTTTCAAAAGTGTAACAATTGTTACATACATAGAACACTGACCAAAAATGAAGGCTATTAACAATAACATGGTGGTGGCATAAAAATGTAACTTAACATCTAAGCTTATTGCTAATTGACTATATACCTTCTGGTGTGTCAACGTTAATTTGAAAATGTCTACTACCTAACAAAACATTTGAAAGAAAAGCATGTCAGTTCATCTCAATCAGATTAAATATAAATTAAACTGACCAATCAAAACGACTCTCATTGACCCCATTATTAAGAGTGCTAAAATGCTGATGCAAAAACCAAGGGGCTATAGAGGGTCCAAAATGAGGTGAGGCAAATTTAAATAGGCGAGGCAAATATAATAAAAAATACATGCATGCAAGAAAAATTTGAATATAAAGAGGGAAATAAAAAATGCCACTATTGGACATCATTTTCAGTTTCAAATAAAAGATCAGTTAGAATATATATGTTTCTGTTTTTTGCCTCGCCTGCCTCATGCCTGGCTCCACCCATGTAATGAATTTTTATTTGGTTGATTGACAATGTTCTCACCTCAAATATGAACTGCAGCAATGCATTGTTGCTGTCAAGGTTAAACATCTTAGACTTCTTGCTGTATAAACCATAGGCAGCATCTGGAAAAACAATACAATAGAATAACAATAGAGTGGTCATTCTCACAGCTGAATGCCCTACTCAGAATTAGCTAATTTAAGGGAAAACTGCACACTGTTTCTGAGACACGAGATTCCCGCTTTTGATTCCTACATTGCCAACCACATAGCAACGTATACCTTTCATATTGTAGCAATGCTTCACAGGGAGAATCGCCGTTTGTTTTCGATAATTCGCCGTTTGTCAGAAGTCAAATATTGTCACAGTTTTGGGGAAATTAAAAGTCTTCTATAGACTATCCTTTATAATATTAACCTGGTTAGACAGTCAACATTGGTTTATTTTTTAGTTTAGCATGAAAAAGATAGACATGGAGAAATGTTGCCGCCTAAATGATGTCACGATGAGGTCATTAGGGTTGCAAAATATTTTCGATATGCTAAAACATTGGATTGGCACATCAGAATCCAGGACAACTTTTAAATCACCTCTTAATAGGATTCAAAGTGTGAAACTTTTTATTAATTTCAAAGTTTTTTTTTTTGAAGAACCGTTTGTTCAAAATATCGTAAATTTATTAAAAACTAACTTTTAGAGGTTACACTAACACATAATTAACACCGATGCATAGCATTCATCTTCACTTGGTTTTGCTGACAAAAATTAAGAAAATTGGTTGATGAATAAGCAAACAATAAACTCATTCATGGATGAAAGTGGTTCAGGGCAAATGCATTTAGAAATTTTAGTTCTCACAGAAACCAATGGTAATAATATTAAAACTTTGATTGACTGTACAATAATATTGTATTTCAGATACATTGTCTTTGAAATATAATGCACATCAGAATTTTATATCATTTTTGGCAAAGCCTGTCCATGCCCTTGTTCATTTGTCCACTTTCTGTCCATGGAAAAGAATTTGCATTTACGGGAGTGCAAAATTGGTTGTTTCGAATGGCGCCTCTTGTTTTTTTCATCTGCCCCTTGTGCAGAAAGTTACTGAAACCACTGTCACTGAATGTTTGAATGTCTGGCAGATCACCAATTCCTTGAATTCCAGGGAGATCATAGAATGCTTAAATGCTAGGGAGATCACAGAATGCTTGAATGTCTGGCAGAGCACTGACTGCTTGAATTCCAGGGAGATCATAGAATGCTTAAATGTTAAGGAGATCATTTCATGCTTAAATTCATAGATCCGAAGGGAGATCACAGATACTTAAATGCTAGGGAGTTATTAACTGCAAACTCTACCTTTAAACTTGCTGAAGTCCAGGGACATTTCTCTTACAGCAAAGTCAACATGGAATGGTGCTATTTGTTCCCTTAAAATTAGTAAATGTTTCACAAGGAATAGCTGCCCATCAAGTTTAGAATTCTGCAAAATAAACATACACTTTATGGTCTAATAGCTCAGATGGGATTATGTTACAAATAATGGCAACTCCGCGGAGTAGCAAATCCCAACGAACAAAATATCAATTACCGAATTCCAATCAATTATACTCATTACTTTGGTTAAAATTGAAAAATTTGGATTTTAGAATTGCGAATTCCTGCAAAGCAGCCATTTTGAATTTTCTGAGGTACAAATCTGAAGAATAATACCATAATTGTGATCTACTTCAAAATTCCTTCAATTTGAGTATAATATAGCCATACTTTGAAGGAATCGAAAAATTATTGCGAAATCGTACATTAGACGGCCATTTTGAATTTTACGAGGCTCGAATCAGAAAAAAGATACAATATTTGCAATCTACTCTTAATTGCCTTTCATTTGAGTATAATAAAGCTATACTTCAGAAAGATCTAAAAATTAGCGAAAATTACTGTTTTCCTGACCCCCCATACACGGCCCCTGGGGGTCAGGATGAAAAACACAGAATATATGTGAAATAGATAGATGTTGCAAATATACTACCAAAATTTCAAACAATATTATTAATTACTTTGGTTTAGAATGAAAAATTTATGATTTTTGCAAAAAAGTCCCGTCATTTTTAAAGCGGCGGCCATCTTGAAATTTTTTTTTTTGCGTACAACTATTCACCAATATACATCTTTCCACTAAATATGAAGAAAATCCGTCAACTCGTATTTGAGTTATCTTCCGGACGGACTGACTGACTGACTGACGGACGGATGGACGGAGGGCTTCACTATATCCCTACCGAACTTCGTTCGTTGGGATAATTAACCTTACTAACATATATGAGTGGTCAGAGAAATTAAATGTTGACAGTTATGGAGATTCATCTTTCCAATTTTGTTCTTGGTGACCATGACACAACAGCCTAGAACTGTATCACATCAGCTCTTAGTGCAAAATTTCATGTTTTCATTAACCACTACTTCCAGTTGACAATAATAGTGAAAGATGAGGTAAATGAGAGAGGAGGATCAAAATGACTTACCTTTCTTTTAACAATGGCCTCTGAGGCATTGGTCAAGGACTGAATACAATGTGCCAAAGCTTCCTGAGACAACCCTTGGAATGTAGTTCTCTAAAACACACAAAAATCCAACACTTTAATAGAACATGTATGCTCTCCTTTACAAAGGACCTTTTCTAGGTAATTTTTCTCTAAAAGAATACAAACACTGTTTACTGGGTACAACTTTTTACAAAATAATTGAATTATATCATAGTAGCCCGGACAGAATTGTTCAATGGTCACTTTTTCTTTAATAACTTTTTCAATTTTCAGTATTATCATAGTCTGATCACACATTTGAAAACTAGAGTAAAATTCTGACATACAAAAAAAAATATTTAAGGAACATCTCTTAATTTATTGATATTATAGGCGTTCATAGTATGACTGACGCAAATACATATTTCATCATTTTGCCTGATATTTGTTCAAAATGGCGGCATATTTTGTGAATTTGAATGTTCAGCTCAAAGTTAATATCTAAAGATTGTCATAGGACTATAGGGCCATGCTGCCACCGTTGTTCCTGATGTAATGCAGCAGCAACTGACCATTGATCAAATACAAGAAATTAACTCCCTCCGAGGGTATATGAAATCAACTCTATTGAAATGTTCGGGGTTGTGTTCGAGAGGATTTGAAAAGGTGGTGCCCCAATGTGCGGGGTGTGATGAGTGTAGGTCCTCAATCTTTTCAAGAGCTCCAAACAGCCATCTCAGAGGCCATTGAAAAGCTGAAAACAATTCACATGCATGCCAAGGATGGGTTAAGAGGCGTGTGACTGGGAAAGACATTACAAACTGTGACAGTATGACCCTATAGTTGCAAAGGTTAAACGAACTAGGGTTGCTAATTCACTACGAGTAACAATGGAATGGCCAAAAAATGTTAAGTCCTGCGACCTTACCAATATACTGTACATACAATGTACAAACCTTTTTAAGTACTGGTATACATACAAGTCAATTTAAAATAAAACAAAAGGTTATAAATGCAGTCATTACCTCATACCAAGGCAGCAGTCTACATGATTTCTTAGGCCTATGACATTTCTTAAATATTAACTTTCAACAGAACATTCAAACCACAAAACATGCCGCCATTTTTGAACAAATATGAGACAAAATGGTAAATTATGTATTTGCGTCACTCATACTATGAACACTTATAATATCAATAAATTAAGAGATGTTCCTTAAATAATTTTTTTGTATGTCAGAATTTTACTCTAGTTTTCAAATGTGTGATCAGACTATGATAATACTGAAAATTGAAAAAGTTATTAAAGAAAAAGTGACCATTGAACAATTCTGTCCGGGCTACTATATAACACACTTGTAGCAGCTTTGCTTATAACATAAAGCCACTTGAGCCACTTTAATGGAATAAATCATTTTGACCTAAATTAAAAGCTGGACTAAGGTGAATGTTACTCAACCCTGGTTTTTTATAGACCTACCCAACCTGGACCTACCCAGCCTATATCTAGACCCTACCCAACCTGTATCTGGACTCTACCCATCATCATTTATCAAAAGTTTTCAAACCAAGAAATTCTACTTACATCAATGCACCTGTAGAGCTTTGATAAACAGACCAAGGTCCTTCTGACAGTGGGGTACCACATGCCATGTAGATCAGCTGGAGACATTGACATGTTGCTGCCTTGGCCCACAAGTGGTTCACCTAAATAAACAAATAAATCAACTAAAGTACATTGTACATTTACTTATTTGCTCAGTTTTTCAGACAAACTCTGAATAAAAATGGACTAGATTTGCAGTTATTAAAAACTCATTTATACTTCAGATAAAAATAGTGATTTGTATCAGTTGAGTTTGTAATCATAATATTTGTAGGTCAAACTTGTATGTTAAACTTTTTTTTACCCGACATCACCACCCCCCCTCACCTCTCCCCTCCATCCCCCCCAAATTAAGCCAAGAACTGATCATGCATGTCTGGAATCTCTTAAAATCCTTTCTGCTAGAAACCTACCTATACCTGGAGCAGAAGGAGCTGCTACAAACTTTGCAGGTTCCGCTACTCCATTTTCTGGAGATTTCTCTTTTTCAGCGTTGATCTCGGCAACCTCTTGGCTTGTGACGGAGATCTCAGAGTCAGTCCTCTGTACAGGACCAGGACTTGGTGTAGAACTAGTGCTTGATTTGGTTTTCTTAACACTCTCAGCTATTTCCTGCAGGAGAAAGAGCATTGAGTTTATCTGTCATTTCAACCATTGTCATTGTTTGATGCTCCATTGAACATTTAACTCAAAAATAAAGATATTGGCTTCCATTTCAAGCTATACAAAATTGCAGTTGAATGTACAGATGTGTATATTAACTAAAAATAAAAGTTACTACATGTACACAGGCACAGGATCAAAAATTACGATTGATTACGTGGCTCGTTACGGGCACCGTACGATTAAGTACGGGGGTTGAAAATTACGAGCTATTACGGGCCTTGTAACCACAAGCTCTTACGAGGCTCGAAAATGACAAGCAATTATGAGACTCGTAACAAGGCCTGTACAAGGTTGAACAGGGTCTGTTGACGCAACGAGCTCCGTACTGGCTTGTACGGGGTCCGATGTAATTTGCCTGTGTATGTATGGTCTTGATTTACAGATTATAAAATATTATCAATCATGTCCATTTAAATGACTATCAAAATCTGAAATACAATGTTTTCTAAAACATGCTACAAGTATGTTTCACTTCTACAAACCTCCATCATTTCTAGTTTCTCAGGGTATGCTAGATCTCCACCTGCAGGATTATAGTTGAGAATATCTGTTCTGATATAGATATATGTACGATACACCAGTCTTTCTTGGACATCTTCAAGCATCTGGGAACACACAGCCTCAAATGCCGACAACTCTTGATCTGAAAATATAGATCCTGTAGTATATTTATGTTATGACTTTCAATCCCAATGAAATTCACAAATCTTAATATTAAGAAATCACTATACTATGCTACGTATTATCATCAAGAATATTGCATTTTTCAATTTTATATATAAGTATTAATTTCAGCCGAAGAAATCAATTTTTTTTAATTGGTTGATTGATGTACTGGATTTTAGCATGTAAAGCATTACTCCTATTTACCATTATTTTGCACATGTTCCTCCAACATTTCAATCTTGAGAATACTGCATAGTTCAGATAGTGTCTCCAGATGGTTTATGTGGATTATAAGGGGTCTGAATACATCATACAATATATTGCACAGCTTTTCAAGCATCTCACTGAAATTTAGAAAATTGAAAATTAGAAAATAATAATTTGATGTTCCTGTTATCTGTCACTTTATTTATGTTCACCACATTAGTATGAACCATTTCTTTATCAATTGACAATATTTCAAAATAATGATTATATTAAAGGAAAATAATACCTAGAACTAGGAAATTTAGATTTTAGATTTTGTGAAAAATTACAAGGCTTGAGGAGTCGCCTGAAAAAAGAGCTCAGCAGTTTTTACTTTATATAAATATTGTACCTAGTTGGCAGTTTAAATATGTTGAAACTATAGTTTGTACTATTTGATAACACATATTAAATGTGTTCTCCTAAATACTTACTCCAATAGTGAAGTTGGTTTTGTAAAGAACTGCTGGTAGAGTTGGTGTTCATCCTCACAGACATGCACCATGAATGCACAACCACTTCTCACCTGAAGTTATGAAGGTATATGCAGCAAAATACTTTAATCCTCTGTATTGAGATTGTCCCCTCCGTACCAATATTTTCTGTATTACTACTGAGATTGTCCCTGTTGATCTTCTCTGTCGCAAGACAGCAAGAACTGACCAATCAGAGGGCTTCATTTTATAGATCATACCATAAAGTAAAATATTGGGACATCCCTGTATATGGAATTTTTTCACTGTCCAGTTCTCATTAAATTATTGTTAAATGAACCTCTGTAGGTGAAACACCTCCAAAATGGACTAGTATCTAATGATATAGGGTACTTCAACATCATCAATGTAGAAAAAAGTAACATTCTGATTATACAATTATTTTGTTTACTTTGTATTCATTTTTCTTTGCATGCATGTGTATACACTTGAATGACAACCTTCTCGCACAAAAAATTCACAAATTTTTTTTCATAAATGAGTCATTCCAAAAGTAGTATGCTGCATTTCGGGGCCACCCTGTACATTATATTTCATTGAACCTTACACTTACCAGTGCACAGTGGTCCCTGACATGTTTTGAGGCAAGTTCGGCAACTGCTGATGCTACACTGGGACACAGCAGGGTCTCCCTTTGCTGGAAGTAGCATGCATGGCAGTCAGACAACAGCTGGCTGTATCTGCAATGTAAATGATACTATGAATGAATAAACATAAGGAAATCACAAACCCAAGTTCACAACCTCATGGTTGCGGCGACAGCGCCTAGCTTAGCATGTTCAATGCTCTGGATCACTCAGCCAACTTGACAACCCCAAAAGAGCTTGTTCCATATGAACTTCTTGCAATAACACCTTAATCAGGGGCCATCAAAACTTACAATTTGGTTGCAAGTCAGTCTCCATATTAAAATAGACCATGGTTTTCTAGGAACTGTAGTTTAATGACACTGAAACAGACCTCTGGATCACCAGCTTTTAAATGCAGGATTGCATTTGGATTCATTTAAACATTGTCAGACTACAGACCACCAAAACATTGAGTTGTTTTTTCAATCACTAAATCTTCTTTAGAAAGATGTTTAAATAACAGTACTCACTCGGGGCTCTTCTCAATTCTTTGTTCAATTTGTTCCATTAGTGATTTCACCCTTGGGGCATTGGTTCGAAATTTCCCATAGAACAATGTAAAAGCATTATTATCAGTCCCTGGCTGTACATCCTGCAATACAACATTTAAAACAATGTAAAAGCATTATTATCAGTCCTTGGCTGTACATCCTGCAATACAACATTTAAAACAATGTAAAAGCATTATTATCAGTCCCTGGCTGTACATCCTGCAATACAACATTTAAAACAATGTAAAAGCATTATTATCAGTCCCTGGCTGTACATCCTGCAATACAACATTTAAAACAATGTAAAAGCATTATTATCAGTCCCTGGCTGTACATCCTGCAATACAACATTTAAAACAATGTAAAAGCATTATTATCAGTCCCTGGCTGTACATCCTGCTATATAACATTTATAACAATGTAAAAGCATTATTATCAGTCCCTGGCTGTACATCCTGCAATACAACATTTAAAACAATGTAAAAGCATTATTATCAGTCCCTGGTTGTACATCCTGCAATACAACATTTAAAACAATGTAAAAGCATTATTATCAGTCCCTGGCTGTACATCCTGCAATACAACATTTAAAACAATGTAAAAGCATTATTATCAGTCCCTGGCTGTACATCCTGCAATACAACATTTAAAACAATGTAAAAGCATTATTATCAGTCCCTGGCTGTACATCCTGCAATACAACATTTAAAACAATGTAAAAGCATTATTATCAGTCCCTGGTTGTACATCCTGCAATACAACACAATATACACATAGTATAAGTTCCAAAACAGTTAACACACAGTTGTCATATAAAATGCCCTTTAAACAGTATTTAAAAGAACTTTATTCAATCTAACAAATTTGAAGAAAATTTATGAAACAGTTTTCTGAAAATGCTGCTGATAAGAAAGTAGCACATATTTAGACAGAAATGAATAATAATCCCAATATTAGGATGTCAACTTTAATTAATTTGTATTATATGACATATATAAAAGAAGTAAAAAAAACATGGGAACAGTTCCAAAATTCCTCAAAACAAAAATAAAATTCTGTAAAGACAACTGGAAACAATATTGCCAGTTGCTTACAAAATTCCAAAATATGCATAATTAGTATTTACCTTTTTAGGAAGTACTTGAGTAGTAGCATTCTGTAGAATGTGGACCACATGTGTTTTCACCAGATTCAAGGCCTTTGATAAACATAGTTTAAACCTGGCCATAAATGCTTGTGATTCTTTATAGTGAGGCTGAAAATACATGAAAACGACATGCTAGGCTGTCTGACTTGGTATGCTGGCTTAAATACTACAATAGTAAATCTCTTGAGACTGGAAAATGCCTTTTAAGCTTTTAAGGAAAATTAGTTTATGGATGTTTCATCATTCAAAAGTAATGACAGTTAACAAAAATGTAGCCATAGCCAAATTGAAAAGAAGTCAGTTTACAACATACTACTGTATAATAGTACTTACATTCTGGTTTATGTATGCGATACACTCATCAAGTCTCGACAACATGGGAACAAACGCTTCATTTGTTACTGTCAATGTAGGGGAACCCAGTTTCTGTAAAACCATCAGATATAAATGAATGTTTTATCAACAACATATACAAGAACATTTTAGTCTTTCTAAGTCAATAAGATATAATAGTGTTGAATTTCCGCATCTACATTGAAAGTCAATATTCCTGTGATAAAAATTAGAACCCCTATTGAAAACAAAGAATCACTAATTTTAGTTCATACTTAAAATGCAAAATGAACGTAATGGACTCCAAAAGCAATGAATGACAGTCATCATCTAATGGATTTTGTACTTACACTTGATATCCTATCAAGTTCATTGAAGTAAGACAATTTGCTATCAATACTCTCTGCTGTATTAACAAGCTTTGTCTGCTCACTTAGCAAGTCTTCGCAGGCCTCATGAAGGGTGTTGGTCTTGGTTGAAACAAACACATATTGTTTCTGGAGATTCTCCAAATGTTGTAATGCAACTGAGACTTCATCTAAGACTTGCTTGCATTGCATTCTGTACTCGGCTAACTGGTCAGTGAAATTTCTGGAAAATAGGGTTGAATGAATGTCATTTTGGTTATTTGTAACTTGAAAAATATCTCCTTTTTTCTCCTGGATTTATTATTGTTTTCAAGGTGTTAGGAAACACTATTTGGGTATTCAAATGTTGACCTTCAGGTTTTTAATGTCTCTTACAGAAATTGTTGATAATAGGGAATTTTACTAGACAGACTTAAAGGGTAATAGCTCCAATGACAAAATGATAATTCCATGATATAAATGGAGAAAGAGACTGAACAGCTTTGAAGACCAAATGATACGAGGGTAGTTCGAAAAATTTTGCACCAAAGCTTCTCAAGAGATGAGATTTTATCATATATATATTTGTGCAAAACTTTTTGAACAACCCTTGTATATCCAAGATATAAATGGAGAGGAGACCCACCTGTATGAAACTTCTTCATCTTGAAACATCCTATCTTCAACATCAGCAAACCAGGTAAAGAACTGCAACATAAAAAGAAGCGATGTTAAAGGACAACTGAAACAGCTTTTCTCAACTTGCAGCTACAAAAATGTGGTTTTCACCATTGTAAGCCCAACGTAGAGTTCTTGCGATAGCCATTATAAAATACATGTTAAATAACTGCTAACGGTCATAGATAACGAAATAAAACTAACTGATCAATCAAATTGGCCCCCACGTGATTAGTAACGTCATATACAAAATATAGCTTTGGTTTATTGGTTCCTTAGTAATCACAACGTCACAGCAACCATAGGATTGTTGTGTAAACAAATAACAAAACATTTTGGCATTATGACGTCATGATCTAATGGACCAAAACGGGCCACGTGGGGACCAGTGAGAGATCACGTGGGGGCCAATAACGTCACAACCAATTTGAATATTGCTTATTAAGCAGCTATTAACGATCGTAAGAGTGAAATAATTTTCACACTACTGATGAGAAAACATGTCCAAATAAATCTTTCAAAAAATTATATTGAAAAAAATTATACCATTTCATATCTGTTTTAATGGTTTTATATTTGTTCCAAATTATATGGGCGGGGAGTTTTACGGTATTCAGGAGCGCTCACTTTTTTTAACAGAATCAGCAATAATGCCTATATGCCATATATGAAAGTTACTCTTTTACATTAATATGACTTGGTATGCTATGCCCCATATTCACTGAAAATTTCATGAAGATTGGTTTAGTACTTTTTGAGATATCTAACAAAATGTGTTCGTTTTTTGACAAAAAAATGTGTTGCTAATAAAAATCAACATCATTTTTTTAATCAATTTGAACAATTTTGACATAAACTTGTTTTAGAGATGAAAATTTGGAAGAAAATATGACAAGAAATAGAAAAAAATATGGTATCTTTTAGACTTTTACGAGGTTCCTGAAAAATCCCACATTGATAAAAATCCAATTTTTGTCAAAAAAATGTCACATCCATAATGATACCTTTGGATATCATGAAAGGAATTTGAATTCAATGAAATTATATGTCTTAAATTATAGAAGAATGTCTTAGAAGTGGAAATAATAACACTTAACATGTTTTGATATTGTCAAGTCATTGATCAAAGCTCCCTTTTCCATTGAGTAAGATGTGTCAAAAATGTTGTCACATCCATACGTGGCTACATTTTTTTACCCTTCAACATGTCTTTGATTTCCATGTTTTCGCATCATGAGCCTGGTGGACTTTATCCACTAAATGCAAATTGGTGAGAGGTAATCAAGTTATTTAATAATTATTCCAGAATTTATGAGATTTGACAGCATGTCACATCCATAACATAGAATATTAAGTTAAGATAATCCTAAATTACTGTTCTAAAAATGATTTTGGTAATAAATGGTCATATTATTTTGATGAAATCAATACAAATTGACAAAAATAACCTCTTTTCATCTTTGAATTTCATGTAGTTATTTCTTCTAGTTTACTCCTGCCGTTAATTTAATAGAAATATATGGCAAAAAGTGCTTTTTAGTATTAGTTCAAATATTTCTCAATATTCTATTTTATTGATGCAATGAACATGTATGTGTAGACACAATAACAAAGTGAAATGGCTTTTTAATATAGCTTGTATTTATGTTATATAGGTAATTAATGTTTACACCGTGAATGACATGGATGTGACAGTTTTGACACCCTACCCAGAGGGACATTGCTTATCTATCCAAGTGGTTTCACGCAATTAATCTCACTAGATGGTTATAGAGCTGTCTGTAGCATGTATCCCAATGTTTATGTGTGTGTTGATGTTTGAGATTCATACATTCATACAATTCATTAAATTTGAGATGAATGTCCATGTGTGGTCAACAGCATACTCTTTGCAACTTGCTATTCAGATAAACAGTTAGTTTTTAGCATATACTGCTAGTTGGTTAGATAAAAAAGTCTACAAGATGGATGAAGAAGAGAAGTTTGTTAAGATTTAATTTTAGGAAAAGGCCATATCAAGAATCAATGTACATAATCTTCAAAATCCAGTGCAACAAAACAAAGGATTGCTTTACATTCTACACCAAGGTCATTTGCCTTGAGCAAATCATGTGTATTACAGACAGCGCATCACCAAAAAGCTAGCTGCCTTGTCAAATATTAAAATGGCCCACAGGAAATTGAATTTCTGAGTTACCAAAGGGGTAAGAGAAGCTCTCAGATTCAATTATTAAACAGGTCGCCCCATTTGTCAATTCCCAACCCAATGGTCCAAATCCCATTGGTCCGATTCCCATTGGTTTGAATACCAATCATCCAAATCCCATCCGTCCGAATCCTGCCTAGTAATTTAATATCAAAATAAAGATGCAAGAAATGTGTGAATATGGAATAGAATATCACGTTAGTGTGTGACTGATTATTGAATAAAATGGATTCCCCATTGGGCCTTGTTTATTGGTAAAATTATGTTTGTGTTTTACATTTTACTGCCACGTTAAGTCAGCTTAAGCTTTATTTCTGATTTAGGTTCCACAGAAAGTAACACATTCGCTCGTAAAACTGATTGTTTAAGAATGTTCAACAATTAAAATGAATGTGAAAATTAGATGCGTTATTATCCAACATAAAAAACTCTCATTTTCGTGTTTGCTGTATCCCTTGACATATCTGAACATAGAGAAACGCTTTTCGTGTAGATTTGGTCAACGGAATTGAATGCAGGTTTTAGATATGTTGAACTAAAACAGTATGCAAGTCTTAGTATCATGATATTTCCCTATGGTCCCTTGGAAAATTTCATATCAACAATTGTTAATTTTAGGATCATAAGTTTCAGATGAATTGGATTCGGACGATTTGGGATTTGAATGATTGGGATTCAGGCGATTGGGATTAGGACGAATGGGATTTGGACCATTGGGGTTGGGACCAAAGGTATTTGAATCATTGGGATTCGGACCAATGGTGTGTCTTCAATTAAACAAGCACCATCAAATGCTGGAATAACAGCAATGGAGTTGCTGGGCACAGCCTTTTACAAGCCCGAGGTGACCTACCATAACACACCTGAATATTGAATCACAAATGATCAATACTCTAAAATAAAATTTGAAAAGCTCTTAGAAAAACAAGAATAGACTCTGTTGAGACAAATAGATATATTCAAAAAACACTTTCTAACTTCTGGTACAATGCATCTCGTGAACTCCCACTAGTTAAGAGAGTAAAGGAAAAGCAAGCTATTTCACTTATTCTGCCGTGTATAAGAAATTCAAAAGTCAACACCCAACCCAACCATAAAATTGGTCACTGCCACTTCATTAAGCCAAAAAAATGTTTGCACATGGAAAGCCTTGGTGCAGAATTGTCAATCGAAACACATCATTTTGGCAGCTAAATGGCAAATCTGAAGCTGATTGTGCCTCTGCGTGAAGTGACCAAAGAAAGAATAGTCAGAGGACTATGGCATTATTTTTGCTTCTTTATTCATTAAATTCAAATATATTCGATATATGAAATATTTATATTCGCTAAATCATTTTTCCATTCGGTAAAAACGTTTATTTGTTTGTTACAGCAAATTAAGTTTTCAAAATAGCCAATCACTTAATACTATGTGCATTAAATTACATATTTCATTCGTTAAATGATATTTTTGGCGTAAATTTTTATAGTTTTCCTTAAGAGTAACACATTATATGCACAATATTGAATTTCTATTTTAACCCTACCGAAATAAGTTTGCCTATATTTACCAAATGGTTTATTTTTCTATGACATAGTTATTGCATTTTACCGAAAGCTAATTTGCTATTTACCGAATGCAATAAAGTAATATTCGATAACTTGCGTTGTTGTTCGATATTTTGTCACGTGACTTCGAGATTTGCAAAATGGCCGCGCAGCTATTCTACATAGTACAAATATATCACGTGACTGAAAGTCTCGTAAATTATCGAAAAATAACGAAATTTATCGAATGTGGCATTCGGTATTTACCGAATATAAATAAATTAAATACCGAATGTACAAATAATTAATTGAATTATACGTGCGTTAAGGAAAACAAATTGATTCGCTGCATCACACAAATACATGTATAAATATCAAATGTGAATGTCAATATAAAGAACAAGTGAAACTATTTAGCGAATATAAATTGTACAGATTATTACATTTGATAAAATAAAAAACATTCGATAGATTGGGTAAAGGTTTGGTGAATTGTTTGTTTTATTTGGTATTTATGGAATATTAATGTACCGAATAAAGAAGCAGTTTAAATACCATAGAGGACAGAGATGCAAAAGAGGCTGATGAGTTCCTGAAAGATAGAAGGAAGGGGCAATGTTTTCTCTAGCAGAACATGGCCCATTTACACATCCCAGGGAGCAGGAAAAGCATATTAAATCAAAGTAAAAAGCTATCAAAAATGTTAAGACCCAGTACATGTACATTCATCATTGCCCAATGGGATCTTGCTGAAGGAGAATATGTCAAAAATTTTGTCACATCCATGATAATTTCATTTATCAGGATATCCTCACAGTGGAATATTTATAAATCATGCAATGATATTTTTGATGATAAAAGGATCCTGAGTAATATTTTATTTCAAACTTTTAAGATATGCATGATAAAATTTGCATTTGGACTGATATTTGCATAATGTGTGCTTTGCACAAATAACAAATGTTAAAAACAAATTTATTAAAGCAAAAGATATTATGGAAATATGTTTAAGTATTGAAATTTATCAGTAGTTAACATTATAATATGTATAAGTTAGGTCACTATGTAGCAGTTCCAGTCGTTTTTAGATTTGACATGTGTCAAATTTTTTTGTCACATCCATAATAGTCTACTGCATTGTGCTTACATTATGCCAGCCTTTGAAAAAGAGAAGCCTATTATCAAGACTTACATCAATAATCAGTTAAGCATTTATACCAGCTCATCATATAACATTATGTGCTTACATAAAATAAGGAAAAGGCATTTTATACCATTACTATCTCAATTGTATTCCATTAATTTCCAATTTTCTGCTAGAATTGTTGTGATTCATTGCATATTTGACCGTTTTTAAGTCAGTAAAAAGGTGTATCTAATATTTTATACTTAGCTTGATGCTAAAACAGCTAGTATTTTGTATTATGACTACCATAGAATAAGTTCTGGGCTGTCAAACTAAATAGTCACATCCAAGTGTAAATGTCACATCCATGGCACATTTTTTGACATGAGGTAGCATACATATCCATTGAGTAATTAAGTTGAAACTTGAAACTTAGGTGTATTATGGCTCAAATACAAAACTACATTGCTTTATAGATTGCCAAAGCCATCAAGACAAATTTTATGGCATTTGACATAGGGGTAGAAAGCCATTTTTTACCTATTGAATTATTCAAAATTAAAAAAAATATACTTTTATAAGGATACCCTAAAAAAAACTTAATTGAGTATTATTGGACATACTCATACCATTGCCTTGGTACATCTATTATGCAAAATACATTAAATATGCACATTATACAAAAGAAATTGTTTGAATTCATTATTTTCCTAATTTTTCATTATTTGAGATATAATATCATAAAAAATGGTCAAACCTATTATCTGTAAAGAGGGCATTAGTTTTTCCATATATTCAAAGGTTCACTTATGATGAAAAAATAAAGATATTAGTTAAAATGAAGCATCTAAAATTCTACCCGTCTAACAAAAAACGCTCCTGAATACTGTAAAACTGCCCTATATACAAGTTACAGGTACATGCATTTAAACAATCCCTCAAGATTGGGTTTACTACTATAGAAGCTATGGATAGAATTGAAATACCCATAAAATAAAAAAGAATGATCTCTACCCAAAAATTGGGAAACAGAATGGCTCTGGATGATTTATCATGTTATCCCGAAATCGTAAAAATACAGTACATGTAATTTTAACTCCATAAAAAATTAATTTTATAAATCTATGACACCTAGTGTAACCATTAAAAACAGATTTTGCTTCATAATACAAGTTGCCAACCTCCACCTACAAATGAAAGGGCCCCATTGTAGCCTGATTGTCATTGATCAATCAAATTTGATAGATTTTCACCAACCTGTTGGGCATTGTAGATCTTGTCTGTAGTGAGAGAAAGTTCTGAGAGTGTCTTACTGATGACATCACTATCGGCAGAAGGTTGGGTCAGCTTGTTGGGAATTTCTGCAACATCATGGAGTGGCAACTGAAATAAATACAATCATTCTATAATATAACAATAACATACACCTTTACTCATTCTTTGAAAGTTCTTTAGGTTGAAACAAGTATGTATATCAAAAGCTAAAATGGCTAGAAATACTGATGCTCCCACCCAGGTTCAGTTTTAAAATAAGTGCATTTATGAATGTTTACTAGCTTCTGGAAGGTACATGTAAATGGTGGTTTTAACAGAAGTTTACATTTAGTAACGTTTGAAATCTCGCTGATTTCTGCATGAGAGCTACTGGAAGTTCAGCCATTGTTAAGTTCATTCGGAAATCTCAGGTTGCTACTTCGTAAATTAACGTCAAAACCACCATTTTGATTTCTTGCTGGGAAATGTCCACTCAGGGATAAAGACAACTCCTGATTGACACAGAAGCAGACGTTCACAAACAGACTATGGAGATGGAGGGAACATTTGGAGATAAAAAATAAGCAGCTGAATTCAGTATTTCAGTTTCAGCTGTCATGATAATCGAACGATTAACTTTGAAATAGGTAACTTTTACATTAGATCTGTGCTTATCAAGTTTGAAAAGTGAATTATGTAGGTTTTGTTGATTGTTTACACTAAAACTGATAGAAAAATGATTATAGCATATGTATACATCTAATATTAAAGACACACATAGACATTTTACCTATATTTTAAAAAACCCCAAAAAGTAATAAATATGACAATGTGCTATAAAAAATGAGATAGAAATTATTGTGGCTCAGAAATAAAGAAAACATGATATGCCATAGCCAGGATTCGAACCTGCAAAATCAAGGTTGCAAGACTGATTCCCTAACCACTCTGCCACAGCCTCAGCTCAACATTTAAGGTGCATTTTTAGTATTCATCCTAAATTTCAGAAAAATGTTTTTCCTCTACACCACAATTATTAAATAGTAGTCAATAATCATGGTAATAATATTACAATACATGTCTGAGCCATTCTAAGCCAAATTCAGAATCAATGCTGTTAATCCAGTTTTCATTTTGAGAATCTACTTCCTGTCATGACTGTCAAAAAAACATGGCTTCCAAAACAAAATTCTTGCTTCCAATTTTCAAAATGATATATATTCATGGATCAGCTAATTTTGGCACCTGAAGCCATCCTAATAGAAAGGTAAGACTATTTTCTTGAAAAGTATTTCTTGATATCCCCAATTTCGGCCTCTGAAGTGTAAGAAAGTCACTTTAATAGTGAAATGTATCCAGTATCATGAAATAACACACAAAACACATTACTGTGCAATAATTAGGACCACCACACATGCGAGTCCAAGGGGTCTTACGGTGCCATGGTACTTAACAGGTAATGACAAAGCAGGCTGCATTTTTAGATGTTCTTTGAGCAAAGATAACAGAGTTCTGTTTTGACCCCCAGTTCCACGTGTCATTTACAGGACCAGGATCACAATGTACATGCTGAGAATGACCCCAAACATGCATCCTCTGATCACAGGGCTTCAGAATCCAGAATATATTCTTTCTTTTCAGTTCCTGCAATAAGCAGTTAGCATTTCCCTGATTAAGAACTCGCAATTTGATGCGCTGTCGCAATATTGCGACAGCAATCATGTTTACGTGATCGACGCATAATTAGATCTCGTGATTCAGTCTTGTTGGGCGCTTCCAAATTGATTATAGCAGGGAGAAAGAAGGAGGTACTGATTCTGGACACCTGCTTAGGAGGATGCTAAACATGATGAAGTAACTTTTTCAGCCCGCTGAAAATGTGACTGAATAATAGCTAAAAGTAGCCCCTCGAGAAAGGTCACTGGTTTCCTGATCAGAGATTGAGAAATGTCAAACACAATTTAAATTTTAGAAGAAAGCACAGATATTGGCCAGATCATTTTGTAGTAGGATCTCATAGGCTCAAAGAATAATTCACAAGATACGACACTAAATTGGAAAATTTCAAAAAAAGTGACCACCTTTTAAAAATGTTCCTTATACAAAATGGTACCTGCTTCCCTGTGACAGATTTTGCACTTATTTTTTAGCTGAGATCTTCATCTTTCTATTTCTACTTGTTTGGTTCAAGTAAATTGCCTCTGAAACATTGCAAAAGTGACATATTTTGTAATTTTCAATGCATACTCCCGATAATTATCTATCATTGTGTGCTTTCCACACCATATCAAACTAATATTATCTAAAAATAATGTATGTAATAAGTTAATGAATGTTTCAGAGACTCTATTATCGCCCACTTGATTTTTTTGGAAATTCAAATTTTTCTAATTTATTTAATATTTGGTCTTTCCTTGGTACTTCATGAACTTTGTGAAGTGGGTTGGGGGCTTAATACTTAATGCTTAATTAATAATGATTACCATAGCTAATTTCTTAATAAATATCATAACATATTTCCTGTACGCTAGTGCGTTTACACTCCCTGTCAACATCACATGGTCAATATGTAAATTATTATGAACATGTGACAAAATGGAAGCATGTATTTTTAGTGAAATATTTTCATACTTAGGATGTTTCTGTGAAGTACAGGTAAGATTGTAATTAATCATTTTCTAAACTAACATATATTGCTGCATAAACATACACATTTGCTGTTAGTCAAATGAGGGACAACTTTTCCAAGAAGAAGAAGAAGGGTTTGTGAACAGAAGGTGAAGAATGGATTTGTTTTTTTTCCTCACGCGATTGATGTACAGTTGAACGTTGATATTCTAGGGATATAATTTGATGAATTTCTACTAATCAAGCATCTTTATGGGAAAAACTCACATGTAGAAGGATGGACAGATCTGTTTTCTACAAAATCAGCATTGAATGACGGCTTGACATGCAGTAATTGTTATTTCAGAGCTGATTTCAGCCAGGGTAGACTTGCCTCAGTTTCAGTCCTTGTATAATGATATCTATCTTCCTTTTCAGGTAACCTGTCTCCTATGAGCAATGGGAATATTATTGACAGAAATGGAACATTCCCGGATCTGAGGCACAATCAGTACTGTCAACCCCCAAAGATTTTCTCGCGGGACAGATTTTTTAGACCCAGTGCCCAAAATTCGCGGGATTTTGCGGGACATCTACTAAATTCGCGGGATTTCGCGGGACATTTAAGGGATTTGCGTGATTGCGCTAATAGGCCAATTTTTATCAAGTTCGCGGGATTTCGCGGGACCATTCGAGGGACAAACACCCTAATTGCGGGACAGTTAACAGGTTTACCACCAAAAACTTCATAGAGGGACAGATTTTTTAGACAAAGTGCCCTAAATTTGCGGGATTTCGCGGGACATCCACCTCAATTTGCAGGATGTCCCGGGACATGCGTGATTTGCGTGATTGGGACTAATGTAAGGCGTGTAAAAGTACTTAAATCAAACTTTCAGATACTGATTAATCAAATATAATGCACCGTTACATTGTAACTTAAATAAACGTCAACACAATTTCACAAAATACGCATAGGAATATTATTAAACTTTATTGTAATTTATCAAAAACAAAAACCATGCTTCAGGTGTGAGTACCGTAATCTAACACGAAATTCAAAAATTCGGAACAATACTTTGCACTTCTGGCGTCGTGACAAACTATGAAACGCTTACCCCCATAATGTTATATATTAAAATGTACCTATTCATATACTGTAGGCATGGGCTTTCAATTGAAAGCCCGTGATATAGGGGTTCGATTAATCTACATCATATTATAGGGAATGAGGTTACTTTTCTAGATAGGGTTTGTAGAAAAAACGGGTACCGGGTAGTAAATCCTCCATGCTGGGTTCAAACTTGGTACCCGGTCGAAAAAAACGGGTACCCAAAAAAACGAAATATACGAATATACAACATAATTAGATCATTAGAAAACGTGTAAGATTTGTTTTGAATTTACAAAAATGTATGTACATTTTAACTTCCTACAAAATTGAGCTAAGGCTCTTTTCTTCCTCTATCATCATGGTCATATTTCCATTGGTAATGAAGGGGGGGGGGGGGGTGCGATCGCACCCCCTCCTGGCTACGCCAATGACAAGACAAATCAATCTTACTTTTCAATAGGTCGTATGTTGGTACGTGAATTGTTTTGATTATGATTTAAATCTGTAAATAGCTATCATTGCTTTAGCAGAGAGGTGACGTGTGTTAATTTACATGATGCAACGTGTAAGATTATTAATCACAATTTAAGTTATCCCAATTTTCGACAAAATGTCCACTGAATTGTAAATTGTTATGTCTTACAATGTCATAGGCGTAGCCAGGAGAGGGTGCGATGGTGCGATCGCACCCCCCCCCCATAACCAATGAAAATATGCAATGGGCCATGACGATAGAGGAAGAAAAGAAGAAGAAAATGTGCTTTTTAATTGAAGCTTCTAGCTCAATTTTGAAGGATGTTACATACATTTTTGTAAATGCAAAACAAATCTTACACGTTTTCTCATAATCTATAATTATGTTATATATTCGTATTTTTCGTTTTTTGGGTAACCGATTTTTTGACCGGGCACCGGATACCAAGTTTGAACCCAGCATGGAGGATTTACTACCCAGTACCCTGTTATTTCTACAAACCCTTTCTAGATATCAGCGTCCATTTATTGTAACTCGCGTTTGCTAACATTTGCTCAGTTCTCAGATGAAGGACACACGGGTAGTAAAAAGGCCAACGTTGGAACTATTTGTGACCTACATCCCTATTGTCGTAATTAAAATGAAAGTTGAACCCTTCCTCTTTATTTTGATACCAAACAACAGCATGCTAGGTACTTAAAATTAGGTAAACTTAGCTTCTTATATAAGATAAGATAATCACAATATAGGGGATTGCAACAATTTCGGAAATTCGCGTAGGTCAAAGCCACATTTGCGGGACTTCGCGGGACAATGCGGGACACGCGAATTAGCCTAATTTTGATCAAATTCGCGGGATAATCCCGCCATTCGCGGGACACTTGACAGCTCTGCACAATGTTCCATCAAGGACGTCTTTGGTTCCATGTTACATTCTTGGACACGTTCTTAAGTACGTGGCAGGTTATTATTTGAAAGCACGTCCTGGAATATGGTGACACTTATGCCATTTTATTTTTAGAGCTAGCGGGCTTGAAAAATAAAACCGAGCCGCGAGCGAAAATCAAATTTTTTTTTCATTTTTTGAAAAACAACCCTACAAACCTCAATTGGCATTGGTCGAGTGGACGATTGCGATGTCAATTCCATAATGGCGTCTCTCTGTGTGTCTGTTAGACTTGCTCTTGGCTCTTTTTGTGTCTCCCATGACGTTAACTTTTGCTGAACACTCCGCACTGACATTTTTTTCTTAAAATTGTCCGCCATGTTGGCTTCGTCAGCAAGGGCTATATCTAAATGACAAACTCTCAACTACAAGATTGTTGAGAAGTATTCTAAATAAATATTTTGTATTCATCATCTTCCACTCTTTAACATATAAATACAGTCTCCGAGTCTTTCGTCCAGTGCCATCCGTACCTCCTGTGCAGTAATTTAATTCAAAAATTTGTAAATTGATAGCATTAGCAAGTCTAAACAAATATCTGAATTAAATCCATTTTATAATTTCGTCTGAGAGAGTTGGTAATTTAACATTTTGAAGTACCAGAATTTGCGGGAAATTTAAAACTTTTAATAACTTTAAATCCGATTAATTTTCAACTAAATTCTACGTTAATAAATGTGTAGAGACGGTCACGAAAATCAGAAAATGTGTATGTATTTTATCAACGCCAAAAAGATAATGGCCAGTAAGTCTCCATAGCATGTGTCATATATCATAATGAAGCATATCCAAAGTTACATTGATTTGCCAGGTAACATGGTTCAACTCACAAATGTGAAAAAGTTACAGGCATTTCAAAATTTAGCATTTTTTCAAAATTTAATTTTACACCTGGGATTTTACACCTGGGACAATGCTTTTGAGATAGGGGTGTGGAATAAAATCCTCATAAAATGCCTGTAACTATTTCCCATTTGTGAGTTGAACTATGATTGTTGGCAAATCAATGTAACTTTGGTGTTTGGATAAGCTTTAAAATGATATATGACACACACTATGGAGACAAAGCTATATGTCTGCCTAAGGGGATGCCATACTTTTGGGACACCCTGTATATAAGTCTGTAATAACACTGATTTAACTAATTTAACAGACAGAAATATATTAGTTTTACTTATAGTTTTATTTTATAATCTTTAAATTCATAAAAATGATATTTTAAGCATAATTTCATTGGACAGTTTTTATGAACACATTCTTTATTTATGACTCATAAATGTACAATTTTACTAATCTAGAATCTTAAATATTCTTATCTTCCTTAAGAGAATCCAATATATAGATGGCACTGGTGATTTAAACAGTTTATACAAATAACCAACATTACATGTATGCACATTGCGAAGCATACATTTTATTTGTGTCATTTACCAGTAATATAAGTACCATCTAACATTTTTTGGCATCTCAGATTTTTCTCTCATTTGCATTGGAATGTATTCTGAATACTATATCAGTAGAACTATGTGTATATTAAAAAATACAATTTTCAATCTATGACTGAGATACTTTTCCTATAATTGTAATAGCAAAGAAAGGCAAACTTTGAAACATGCAATAATTGTAAAAATATAAACAACTCTGATGTGAACACATGCTAGGGTATAGCCAAGATCCAAAATAGGTGAGGCAAATTGGAATAGGTGAGGCAAACATTTAGCTAAAGAGGATATTGTACTTCCTCCTAATTTTCACATTTTTAATTGAAAAATGTTGAGACATATTTTTCTGTGAAATTTTGGAATCATGCAGTTGCCCTCCTACATCATAGGTAGCTACCCACATGCACACATCAAATTTTAAGTATAATCATGCCCACATATTTTTTACAGTTGTATTGTCTAAGTACTGGTGTATCAAACCATCTTCCAAATGTCAATATTTTCCAATGGTTCAATAAGTGCATTTAAAGGGGCTGTCCCTTTACTTCTGTCTGATCCTAAATTATTGCGAAATGTTTTAAATTCACAATAATCTGTAATTTGTAACATATGCCATAAATCTTCTCTGTAAATATAAAGGCTTGAAAAATTGCTCACTGGGTGAGTTATTTTTTAAAGCTTTGTATTTTTCAGAAAAGATTTGCGTCAAAGTCTATTGATAGTACAAATCAATGAGGATTATAAATCATACACAATTTGGGGTAAGTGACTTAAGATGCCATAATTATAGACTGCCTTTAAAATAAGGACTCTTTTTGATTTTCCATATGCATACCAACTTTTAATACTTTTACATCAAGACCTTAAAGAGTAAGTTACCATGTTTAATCAGTCTCGTGACCAGGTCCAAAATAGTACATTCATTTCACATTTGTCATCAATATTTGCAATGTTTTGTTACTATGTACTAGACTGCTACAGTATGTACTACAGAAATTCCCTACCCGTTCTACATACATGTTATACACATACATAGTCTATTAATCATCTAACATTATTGGAAAATAAAAGCCATAAATACAGGCAAAAATATGTGTCATTTTGAATGTATATAACTTACTTATAATCATGGGAAGAACTTTGATTACAATGGCAAGATCAGTCCCAAAACATTTAAAAAATATTTACATGTACATCATGATTATTTACATTTCCATCCCTATATATGCATTTAGAATGGCTAACCACTAGACCGTTACTGGTGCGCCTACCCCTTCTCTGGTATAACAGCTTGCCCCCAATTGTGGATACCATAAATCATATTAATTTGAGTAAAATAAACAACTATATGTACATACATAATACAACACAAAAATAAAATATCTTTTATAAGTACTGGTACTTATAAGTGAAAAATAATACATTAATTGTATCAAGCTTTCAAGTGACACTACAATGCTTTCTTGCATTGTTATATTTGAGACATTATGCCATGCACCACCTCTAATTCATGAATCTGATGAATGGGCATCAGGTAGTATGCTATATTTTATGTCATCTAAACCCCTCGATATTCCATCAAAGTGATGCTTTTTGTACAATAAATAGATAACCCCTCCTACCAAGACCTACCTTTCATGACCCTCATATTATCCTTCACTGCATTCACATTATTCATGACTAACTTCACATTTTTCATGACTACTCTCATACTATCAATGACTAACCATCACATTATTCATTTAATCATGACTTTTCTCAAGTTATCCACGACTACCTTCACATTATTCATTTAATCATGAATATTCTCAAATTCAATTCTCCTAAGTGAAACACTTTATACTACTGTATACCAGAAGAAAAGTGGTCCACTTACACCGGTTTTACTGTGGTGTTTACTTTATAATATATTACTACCCTGTGAATGTCCCTTTATGTAAATTACTAAAACTATTAACAGTCAGCAGTAATCCACTCAAGTGTCGCCTGGTATGCGAACTCTAAGTGTCGCAAATAATGATGTACACAGATGAGCCTAGATGCGTAGCATGCTAACACGATAGAAAATCGAGACGTTTGCACGAAGAAAACAGCGACAATTTCACGTCATTTTCACAGATGTTAGCCATTTTTCTTTTCATATTTTAGATGTTACGACCTAGTGTCTTTCCATCAGATTCAAGCTCCTGTGTATCCCCCTCGAAAAAAAACTCACGAGTTGACAATTCGCTGTCAGGAGCCATTTATTTATTTTGTTGTGCTAATTAAATATGCGAACATGCGCAGATATAATGTAGAAATGAGGAAGTGGAAGGGATTGATCATTTTGTTTCTAATTCGGCTAATACAGCGAAAATAAGATTTTTTTAATGCGACGCACAACTGTCGTTTTTCAACACAAGAGTGGATTACTGCTGACTGATTAACATATTAATCAATAAGTCTGTCTAGAGTTTTGTGTCCCAGATGCACCCCTTCTTTTAATAAATCTCCACTGTCCACTCTTAAAGGCAATTCTGTCTGTATAATTAACTACATACTATTAACCCATCAACATGCTTTTAATCGATGCTACTAAGCCCATGTATCAATGAATACTGATGAAGTGATGTAATGAAGGGTGCAGAGATGTCTTATTAATTTGGTAAAAAGTAGCACAAATGTCTATTAAACAGATTAGATGCTGGAAGAAATAATGTCAATTCCATCATTTAATATCTAAGATTTGGTGAATGATATTATATTTGAAATCTACATGCAAAATGAAATTTAGAAATGTGCTTTTATTTATTTATCTATATTGAATTATTTTTGAATTTTTAATCGAACAGATTCTAATTTTCTCTAATGATCATATTTCAAATTGTATAACTATCAATTTCAAAATGAAAAGGTTAGATGAAAATTGATGCATGCACTAAATCTATTTATTACTTAACTTTAGGTACATTATTCCTTTAATTCTGTCTGCCATGTTATCTAACTCAAATTAGCAATTTGCTTGCAAACCTAGCAGTAACTAGCAACTGGCACCTAAGTAATTTGGTTTACAGTTAAAGGTCATCTTAATTCATTTATCTTTTAGAGAAAAAGAAGTTAAGGCGCTTTGTTCTATCTTAAAGTCATTTTGGGTCAATTAAGATTGTGCCTCTTTAATTAGAAATACTAAAATATGTCAACTTATCTAAAGGAGAACAAGACCCTGTGATATGAACACCTTGTGATACGGAGTGTTTATTAAGGGTCCATGATCTCTTAAACTCATATAATGCCTTCAAAATAAGTCAACAATTAAATTAACAATTTGTGAATGGGATATTCAAAGTTGATTTTGTGATTTGGCATTTTTTGGAGAAATATTCAGCAAATATTAATCACATGCCAAGTTTTGACCTATTTTTTGTTCTATTATAAATTAAAATGAAATGATATTCTGATAGACTGCCTAAATGTCATCACATTCTTGTACTTGAGACAATGTACTTGAAATTCAATTTCAATTTATGATACAATAATTATAATACAAATTCAAATTCAGTAATCATGGCTAAAATGCCCCATGCAAAATTTGAAAATGTTATGTTATCACCCAAATATTATTTCAAAAATGGTACATCTATACTATTACAGGTCATTGCTTTTACAGTTTCATCCAAAAAGTGTCTAAAATATGCAGTACTTTTCTGAAAAGCATCTTAAAGAATATCTATCTGTAAAATCTTGGCAAGGCAGTAGCCTCATATGTTTGCCCCAAAAGGGTTAAAATGACTTGAGTTGACTTGTATTGAGTTGACTTGGGTTTGACTTAACTTAGGTATGAGTTGATCTGTAATCTGAATTTGAACCTGGTCCCACTGTATACAACATCACAACAATAACGACCTTAATGTACTTTCAAATGTCCATTCATTGGTTGATCTTGACCTTGACCTCCCGCTTGACCTTGTCCATTGTCTCCTTGTCCTTGTTCATGTGTGAAGAATGGCAAAAATAGCTTAGACACAGCAGTGTATATCTTCCCATGTATAAGAAACACAAATTGTTGTAAGAAGCCGTGTAGAAGACGGTAGTATGGGCCATAGAGTGGGTCAGATGGTCCAGGGCAGAGCATGTTGTTCAGGTTCATTTCTAATGTCTGGAACAATAGGGTAGAATTACAGTAAGACATGGCAACAACTGCTGACAGCTGTGAAAAAATGTATTGTTTAACCACCTCATTGCTGATATTAAACAATATCAGGCAAAAATGGGACTGGAAAATGATTTTCTAAAAAAATATCAGAAATATCACTGGCTGTTATACAGTTAACACAACAATCATGTGATAAAATATATTATAATAGTCACTTAGTTCATTTCAAAACTGTAATAATCATAAAGTAAATAATACTTACAAAGGAAACTATCTGCAATGGTATAAAATGGTAAAGGTACAAGGCCCCCAAGGTCCACATGGTCCAAGACATATCTGTCAATGCCTCCACTTGAAATGGTCCTACAAGTAAATATCCATATTCTTTAAATATCTCAATAACAATCTTGAAAGATTAAGGATAGATGTAGCCACTGGATCCAAATATACAGGGCATGAGCATGAAAGTGCATCTAGTTGGGCTAGTCTTCTGAAACTTCTTGGAGTTGCTCCATGAATCCTAGTTTTAATGTGGTAATAAAGAACAATTCAAATATCATGCAGACAAAAAAGTTATGCAACATTATGTAGAGGTTAAAACTAAAAGGGGAGACCATATTTATTCAACACCCTGTAGATGAGGCAAATTTCAATGAGGCATCATTTTCAGTTTCAGTCTAAAATGACTCACCTAAATATTATGGTGAGGCAATAATGCCTTTCCTATCTTATAGCTTGCTATGCTCATAAAGACAAAACATGAAAATGTTAATATTTCAATTGTATCTTTTAGGAAGCCTGTTTGTAAGCATTTTTATCTTGAGTACAACTCTTTCCTGTTCACAGTAGTTGCATTTAATTCTGAATTATGGAATTTGAATATTTCAGGAAGTAAGCGTATGTAAGGCAAGAATGAAATATGAATAAATTCATCTTCAGGAAATAAAAATTTCAAGATTATATTACTTACTTTTAGTCACAGTAATCATGTAAAATCTATAGTAAATGTGAATGTATTAAAGCATTTTTTAATTAATTAAATTTATTAGAGCATTTTTTAATTATGGATTTCGGATTTTCAGAAATTCTTAACTTAATAAAGTCTCCTGTTAATGCCCCAACCCCCTTGATTACTTAATTCAAAACAGCCAACCTTAGCCTGTTATTTACAGAAATTCTGAAATTAAAGGATATTCTGCTTAACATCTCTGTTGTAAAATATATCATGAGTTTCTTTAATTTGATCACAAAACACAATAAATTACAATATAGCACGACAATCTTCTTGGAAATGAAGTACTCTTGGCAATTAAGCCTATTGTACGGATGAGAAAATATTTCCGAAATACGTGACTGATGACAACATTGTGTTATATTACAACAGAATTGACATTTAGTTCAAGAGATATGGATATTAAAGATACCTTATAAATGTCTAACATGTCTAAACTAAGGCAAATAAATAAAGTACTTTGTCTTGAAGATTATTAGATGGCTGAAAAACATTTTCTCATTCAATATCTATAGAGTACTTAAGACTTTAATAATTACGTAGTTCTTGATTCCATGTTGGTTGTTACAATGGCGTTGTTATGATATCAAATATTTATTATTGAATTATCTGCACACATGTTATTATGATTTTGTATTTCAACTTTAAACAGCTTGCTCTATTCCAAAACAAAACTTTAATAAAAAGATATAACAAGTACCATTAACAATTACTGGATATCAACATACTAACAAGTGGTACATTATCAATCATACAACTAAGTGGTTCACAGTGAATAGTACCACCAAGTGGAATACTAGCAATCATGCAGCAACTATATGGTATACTGTCAATAGTACCAAACACTAGTATACTATCAAAAGTACCTCCAAATGGTATTCTATAAACAGTACCACCAAATAGTACACCTACAATTGACAAATGAACAGACTATCAGATAATTAATTATTAAGTGGGTTCTATTCTGACAAATATCACATATATAGACAATGATACAATTAGGAATTATTCAAATACACTTATAAATATCATAAGAACAATCTTAACATGAGACATTACAGTAAAACCGGGAGTAAAACTATCATGTACCAGTTATGCATTGTATAACGTAACAGATAGGGAATTTTGTTATTTGTATTTTTATCAAATAATATTTCTCTGACCTCTTACAAGATACCCATTTCTATGAGAAAAATCATACATGCATTGGTTGGTACTGAGTAATAGTTTACACAAGTGAACCTGAATAATATAATTTTTCTGTTTAATTAAAAACTATTATATTGTTAAGGTTTAGCATTCAAATCATAAAAATCTGAATGAATAAAGGTGTCTCCTTAAATGTTCTTCTCACTTGTGCACCTTGAAAACTCTGATAAATTTTACTTTTTTAGAATTGTATCCTTTTAAAGGACAGGACATGTCAGTTACTCAAGTTGTAAGTGAAAATTCATTAAATTGTTTTAGATCCTGAAGTGAAGTATTAATGAAAGTATCAAATCTTAATGTAATCTTGAGACAAGGTAATAAATATGTACATGGTGTGTATGTCTGTAAAAATTCTAGGTGGTGTTTTAAAATAAATAAATTGATTTTTTACAATGTTTGACAGATACTGCATCAGATAAAACCTCATAACCTTTGTAAAAATCAAACTTTACTTTCTTACAAGGCAAATCTATCCTTACATCATACCTCATTTCCCAGTAGTCATTATTTCTTTTATGAAGATAATAGGGAGAGGGGTGGCTCAGAATATAAGAGATCATTCTACTCAGCTCAGCCACCCTGTCAAATATACAGTAAAACCTTTGTTTAGGGAAAAGAAATGTTCTACTTGTAGACATGTGTTACATGAAAATGAAAATCAATGAAACAATATTTGCTTCTTTTGAAAGCTTTCTTGTAGAAAGGTGTTCCCTTTAAACAGGTTTTACTGTTCATCAATATACTCATAGATTTTAAATGTATTATGCTTAAAACTTTGGCGACAGCAACTTATCTTAGATTTCAAAAAAAGTTGCATAAGTACACTGTTATTCATACCAGGTCAAGAATATTACAGCTTACAGTGTATGCTTGATCAAATTTTATTACTTCTTCAAATTCATCTGCTTCTTTACACTTTCAACAGTTTTAGGGAATATGTGGTTCAAGCGTGGAATAACATTATATTAAGCAGATATATGCGCAACTTGAACCATATCCAAAAAGGTTCTTGGAGAAAAAGGGAACAATCTAAATTCCTAGTAAATAGTGCATCTATATGTAGGCCGTATCAAATTTTGATGATGTATCATGAATCTTTTTATCAAAACTGATAAGCACCGAGGAAGAAAGAAAAAGCGAATGAGTTTATTCTTAGAAACTTTCAAAATACTAAATCCTGGGAACAGGAGAACTAGACCATGTCACATAATACATTTGTGATTTTGATCCAGCTGTTCCGTGCCTTTTCATTCATATTTTTGTTTCATGGTGATAAATGATGTTGGTGAATTTAAAGCCCAAGCTTTGTGAATTATGAGAATTCTAAATTTAAGTTATAGATTGGTAATATTGGGTACTGTATGTTTGGGCCAACACATTAGATCTTTGAGGAAGGGAGGTTAAACTTTAATTTCATATCACTGTATTTTTCTGAACCAGTTCGACCTAATATATCTGTTTGTTACAAAAGGCCTAAAATATAATATATAATATAAAGTTTGGAAATTAGCACATTCATACACAAGCTGAAAATATTGAATTTACCTATAATATTAGGTTTAAAATACTTTCTAAAATACTATTTCAAAAACATGACTTCCCAAAGATGTAATAGTTTTTAAGCCCTTGTTTGAAATATACATTACACCACACATATGGAAGATATACATTTTAACAAACTTATAACAACAATTAATTATAATCATTACATAACTGACTGACAATGAATAGGTACATGCCACCATTGTATGGAATCATTATAGGACACCATACTAGAATAGTACAAGTCACCGGTTTGCGACATTTCCTTTTTGAAGTGATATTTCATTACACTAAATCATAATATGACATCATTTATCATTATGTAACTACATATCAATTACATGTCCATGAAAATTAAAGTTTATTTTACAATGCATCATAGGCATCATTTATCATCATATGCCATGTTATGACAACATACTAATTTCACGTCTAACAGGTGTATGGAAAAGCATACTATATAAGGTCAAATGACATATTACACTTTATTGCATCTCAAACAACAATGCTAGTAGTTGAATCTATTGCATATTATATACATTTCAACCACAATGATTAACAGGTAATCAGTTACTGGGTTAATACCAGTAAATATTGGGCAACAATATAGATCTAAATTTAGTTCATTGGTAAGTTTAACACCTCTTCTTTCTTATAGACTGTGATATATAAAACAAATGAAAAAATGTGAGGAAAATTATCAAGTTTTGTTTTATATCATGCAGGGTCAACTGTATTGTATTGCATTTTGTTTACCCCCATATTTTAGTGAGCAATTACCTCATTGGTATATTTCCATATTTTAAGCATTTTTCACTCAAATACGGAGCCAGAAACCTCTCCTTCAAGGAGCCCTGTGTCCTTTTATATGCACCGATACACAGGTACATACACATCTAGAAGTTTCAAGATATTCACTTTTAAAAACAAAGACAACGCTTCACCAAATAACCATTTCTGAAGTCTCATGACAGACTTATATTTGTATGAACAAATCTCATTATGATGTCATGTCACCAGTTGACCCTGCGCAAGATGTTCACAAGATGATACAGTACACTGGCAAATATTGAGACATGAAATTTCTTAAAATCCTGAAGATTTCTAATTCTCAATGAATCTTGGCATGGCCATTTGTGGTATCAACTTCTTGGCCATTTTGTATGCTCTCCACTTGAGGAGGTAGGAAAATCTTGGCTATAGCTGTATATGTTTTCCCATGTATAGCTATGAGGACTCCCTGTAATGTCCCATGGTATATGCGATACCAAGGGCCATAAAATGGGTCAGATACAGCTGGGCAGATCATGCTGTTAATATTTACCCAGGAGACCTGAAAATATATTTCAAAATGATGTAATTATTACGAGATCTGGGAATATTTTGTTAAAATACAGGTATGTGGAAGTTTAACAAACAAAATATGATTCACTAAATCTTGAAGCTAGACATCTGGGTGGTTATTTCTGATTTCTTCACCATAAACAAATAAAAATAATTAATATTTCATGATTTTCCCTGAAAATTAAGACCACACAATAATGTGTGTAAGACTCATGGACTTACGTATGCTGCATACTGGATAGGGCACCAGTATATGAAATACAGAACTCCACAGGTAAAGATCATCCAATTCATATCCTTTAAAGCCTCTGTCTTAAATGGTCCTGAAAAAATAAGGAAAACAAATCAACGAAATATTTCTAGTAATTTATTGAGGAATAAAAAGGGTAAACTGATCACTTTCCCAAAATAGTATTAGATGTATCGTCCCTCCATTTTTTCTATTCATTTTTGGGATTATTATTTGAAAGCAGTATCTATTTTAAAGCACTTAGTTATAGGACTAGAAGACATATTTAGCTCTGGCACAAACTTGGGATGATTTTAACACCAATAGGCCATAGTCTTAAGGGAATATACCAGAATTTTACCTAAATGTAAAAGGTGAAAGATTAATTATTCTCTAAGCATAGAAGGCATATGTGAGTCTTATTTCAAAACCCTGTATGTATTACCATCACTTATGACAGAGAGGGGATAAACAAAGGGGCTTCAATACACGCCCAGAACTTTATCTTACAGATATCCTTTTAGTTTCCTTAGTCTAGAAATCACTGTTAACTTTAAAAATCAGGATACCCAGTAATAAAAGCACTCTGTTTAACATAAAATGTCAGTATCGAAATAAAGCACTATGTTTCACGTAGAAACCAAAATGGCAGAGTATAGAAAGCATTATGTTTGACATAGAAACTAATATGTCAGTATAGAAAGCACCATGTTTAATATAGAAACCAATATATCAGTATAAAAAGCACTACGTTTGACATAGAAACCAACATGTCATCAAAGAAGGCACTATGTTTGACATAGAAACAAATATGTCAGTATAGAAAGCACTATGTTTAACATTACAAACCAATATGCCTGTATAGAAAGCACTATGTTTAACATAGAAACCGATATGTCAGTATAGAAAGCACTTTGTTCAACATAAGAAACCAATATGCCAGTATAGAAAGCACTATGTTTAATATAGAAACAGATATGTCAGTATAGAAAGCACTTTGTTTTACATAGAAACCAATATATCAGTATATAAAGCACTTTGTTCAACATTAGAAACCAATATGCCAGTATAGAAAGCACTATGTTTAACATTACAAACCAATATGCCTGTATAGAAAGCACTATGTTTAACATAGAAACCGATATGTCAGTATAGAAAGCACTTTGTTAAACATAAGAAACCAATATGCCAGTATAGAAAGCACTATGTTTAATATAGAAACAGATATGTCAGTATAGAAAGTACTTTGTTTTACATAGAAACCTATATTTCAGTAAATAAAGCACTATGTTTAACATTAGAAACCAATATGCCAGTATAGCAAGCACTATGTTTAACATAGAAACCGATATGCCAGTATAGAAAGCACTTTGTTCAACATTAGAAACCAATATGCCAGTATAGAAAGCACTATGTTTAACATAGAAACAGATATGCCAATACAGAAAGCACTGTGTTTAACATAGAAACAGATATGTCAGTATAGAAAGCACTTTGTTTAACATAGAAATCAAGGTACATAAGCACAGAACTACTTTTTGAAATACAGAACCCACTCTACTAAGCATAGAAACCAATCAGTATAAAAAGCACTCTGTTTGATAAAAAGAATCAAGATGCCAGTACAAAAAGCACCTAAGATATGTCAGCATTAGAAACAACTTTTTAATATAGAAACCATTCTTCTGCATTAAGCATTGAGACCAACTAGCATAGAAAACGACTTAGTTTCACAGTTTCACAAAGAAACCAAGAAACAACCTATTTCTATAAGCAAAGGAACCTAAATCATTTAGTACAGGAACCACTCTATAAGCAATTATCTGTATTATAATCTACTCTCATACTGTTTATAGCATGATCAGATCATAGACATGATCTCGACACTCAAGATGGAAAAATTATGTTCTTTATGTTCTTTATATTCACAACGCTTCTTTATATTCACAACGCTTCCATTCCCATATTCAGTGATGCCTAAATTGTTCCTCAAGTACTGATGACCGAAAGACTAGCTATTATCTCTACAACATTGAAAGAACACTGAGCTCCCTGTTAAATCATTCAACTTTGAATTTGGGACATTCAACTCCATATTTCACTGAGAAGGTGAAAAACAACAGTTGAAAGAATAATGTCACAATGGTATTTTTTCAAGGCATTAAAAATTTCAAAAATAATCAAAACTAAATGAGTTTAAGTGCTTATATACTATTCCTGTAATATGTGACACACCTAGAGAACAATTACAAAATTTCAAAATGGGTTTAAGGATAGTATATGGATGAGGTGAGTTTTTCTATCTTAAGGAACAAACTAAATGTGATTAGGGACATAAACTAGTTACGCTAAAGGACACAAACTAAATATGATTAGGGACACTAACTAGATATGACAAGGGACAAAAATTAAATATGACTAGGGACACAAACTAAATATGACTTGGGACATAAACTAAATATGATAAGGGACACTAAAAAATATGATAAGGGACACAAACTAAATACCAGAACAACGGCAACGCCAAAGCGTAGCGAATCCCATCGAACAGAAATGGCTGGCATTTTTACAAACGAAATATATAGCAAATATCATAAAACAACACACCAGAAAGGCCACCATTTTCAAAATGGTTAGCCAAGTTGTCATCAGAAGAAATAATATGCTTTTAGTAGCCACCTATAAAATTTTTGAAAAATCGCACACATGTACTTGTGAAATAAGTAAAAAATGTAGAAATGACAGCCATTTTTTAAAATGGCCGCCTACTATCCGAAGTGTCATGAGACAGTGTGCAAGGCTCGTGAGTATTCACATATCAAATATGAACAAAATCGTTTCACTACTTTTCAAGTTATAGTAAAAACGTAAAAATGGTGGTCATTTTTCAAAATGGCCGCCTACTACCCAAAGTGTCATTAGACAGTGTGCCATGCTTATAGTATTCACATATAAAATATGAAACATACCAAATATGAACAAAATCGATGAACTACTTTTCAAGTTATAGTAAAAACGTAAAAATGGTGGTCATTTTTCAAAATGGCCGCCTACTACCCAAAGTGTCATTAGACAGTGTGCCATGCTTATAGTATTCACATATAAAATATGAAACATACCAAATATGAACAAAATCGCTGAACTACTTTTCGAGTTATAGTAAAATACGTTAAAATGGCAGCCATTTTTCAAAATGGCCACCTTCTACCAAAAGTGTCATTAGACAATGTGACATGTTTATAGCATTCACATACCAAATATGAACAAAATTGCTTCACTACTTTTCGAGTTATTGTAAAATACGTTAAAATGGCGGCCATTTTTCAAATTTTTTTCAAAATGGCTGCCTTCTACCAAAAGTGTCATAGGACAGTGTGCCATGCTTATAGTATTCACATACCAAATATGAACAAAATTGCTTCCCTACTTTTCGAGTTATAGTAAAATACGTTAAAATGACGGCCATTTTTCAAAATGGCCGCCTTCTACCAAAAGTGTCATAGGACAGTGTGCCATGCTTATAGTATTCACATACTAAATATGAACAAAATCGCTCCACTACTTTTCGAGTTATAGTAAAATATGTTAAAATGGCGGCCATTTTTCTAAATTTTTTTCAAAATGGCCGCCTTCTACCAAAAGTGTCATAGGACAGTGTGCCATGCTTATAGTATTCACATACCAAATATGAACAAAATCGCTCCACTACTTTTCGAGTTACAGCAAAAATCGTAAAATAACGAGTAAAGGCCGCCATTTTTCAAGATGGCTGCCATGTGCTTTTTTAATATCTACATTTGTAGCTTTATTAATGTCCTTTATAATTTGTTTACACTTAAAACATATTGCTATTACAGTTTTACATATTGTACCTAAATTACTGTAAAATCGGCACTAAAATGGCCGCCATTTTGAAATGAGCGGCCATTTTGAAAATCGGCTTTCGAGCAGAACTTCTACCCCCATAGGGTATATGTGTACAAAATATGAACAAAATCGGGCCAACGGTATTTGAGTTATTGCCCGGACGGACGGACAGACGGACGGACGGAGGCGTTCCCTATATCCCTCCGAACTTCGTTCGATGGGATAATAATTAGGGACACTAACAAAATATGATAAGGGACACAACTAAATATGATTAGGGACACAAACTAAATATGAGAAGTGATGCAATCATACATGATTAGGGAAATAAACTAAATATTAACATGGCAAGGGACAAAACTAAATATGATAAGGGACACTAACAAAATATGATAAGGGGCACAAACTAAATATGATTAGCTAGGGACGCAAACTAAATATGATTAGCTAGGGACACACACAAACTAAATATGATTAGGGACACTAACTGTATATGATAAGGGACACAAACTAAATGTGATTAGGGACACTAACTGTATATGATAAGGGACATAAAACTAAATATAATGGTAAAGATTAAAAGGTGGATTGGATCGAGTGGATTGGATTCATGTAAAAGGTGGATTGGATTGGCTATCTTCAAAATATGGATTTTCCTTTAAAAAATTATATTGATCTCCATTTAGGAAGATTGGTGCTCTCTTCACTTGCACAATGTCAAATAATAGATGTAATATTATTTTGCTTGGGTGGGCTAGAAGGATGGCCTGGTACCCGCTTTCTGATACACGATCTTATTCATTCCAAGTGTAATTTGAGACATTTCATAAATCATAAGGCAGACTGGTTTGAAGATCCATATCCTCTGTTTTCAATCCAAACTGAACATACCAGAAATATTTTGTGAACATTCACACATTAATTTGAATGACAGGTTTTCTTTTTCTAAAGATCTATTTCTTACAAAAGTTGATTTACAAGGGAAAGCTGTTAAATACTTAAGTGTGTCCATGAACTAATTGGAGTATGTATTTGTCATTGCTTTGTTCTGATTTCTCAAAAGGGACCTGTAATAATGTAGAGGGAAATTGTTTAGAGGGAGATCAACAGAAATTTTTTAAGAAGAAATTCCACATTTTGAAGATTCCCGATCCAATCCACCTTTTACATGAATCCAATCCACTCGATCCAATCCACCTTTTAATCTCTACCAATATAATCAGCTAG